CCCTCGCTGCTAACAATGTTCAGCGAGTTAATGGAGCTACCTATGCTGCTATTGCAGCGGGTAGAAATCAAAATACTAACCAACGTTCTAATGGAAATTTTGACAATTTTGACTTAGGAAGCATTACTGCCCCCAAAATGGAATTTTTACAGAATTCATTAATTGACATGATTTCTGATATGCTTAAATCTAACTCCATGTTTGATGCTATTCAAACTGGAGTAAAATTTGCTAATAATATTGTCATGACTTAAAAATTCAGTAATGGATTTTAAAGCTTTAAATATTTTAAATTGGAATGCTCGATCTCTTAAAGATAATGAAGACGAGCTATTTAACTTTTTGAGAGTTCATAACGTGCATATTGCCGCTATAACTGAAACGTTCCTTAAACCTGGCCATAAGGTTAAGAAGGACGCAAATTACTTGATTTATAGAAATGATCGTCTTGATGGACCCTGTGGTGGCGTTGCCATCATTATTCATAGACGAATCAAGCATAAAATTCTTTCTTCATTTGAAACCAAAGTTTTTGAAACTTTGGGGGTTTCTGTTGAAACAAAATTTGGACAACTTACGTTTATAGCTGCCTATTTGCCATTCCAATGCGTAGGCCAGCAAAAGAATTTTCTCAAGCGTGACCTCCAGAAACTTACCCGTCATAGGTCTAAATTCTTCATTATTGGTGATTTTAATGCAAAACACCGCTCATGGAATAATGCTCAAAGCAATTCCAATGGTAATATTCTGTTTGATGAATGTTCTGCAGGTTATTACACCATTTAATATCCAAACAGTCCAACATGCTTTTCTTCTGCAAGAAATCCCTCAACTATTGATTTGGTCTTAACTGATTCATGTCAACTTTGTAGCCAATTGGTTACCCAAGCTGACTTCGGTTCTGATCACCTTCCAGTAATTTTTGAAATATCCCAAGAAATAATTTGTAATTCCAATAGCTCTATTTTCAATTACCATAGAGCTGATTGGGAGCAATATCGAACATTTATGGAATATAACTTCGATCCAAACATTCCTTTGCAAACCAAAGGTGAAATTAATTATGCTCTTGAATCTCTGACTACTTCTATAGTTGAAGCAAGAGCTGCCTCAGTACCAAAATGCGAGGTTAAATTCGATTCAATTATAATAGACGACGATCTTCAGCTATTGATCCGTCTTAAAAATGTCCGTAGGAGACAATATCAAAGAACACGCGATCCTGCCATGAAAGTTATCTGGCGGGATTTGCAAAAACAAATTAAAAAGCGATTCTCTGCCCTGAGGAACAAAAGTTTTGAAAATAATGTTACTACATTAGACCCGAGTTCCAAACCCTTTTGGTAACTCACAAAATTTTTTGAAAAAACCTCAAAAGCCTATTCCAGCGCTTAAAGAAGGTGGTAAAATTTTGATCACAAATTTGGAAAAAGCTCAGAAACTTGCTAAGCAATTCGAGAGTTCCCATAATTTCAGTTTGGGTCTTACTAGTCCTATTGAGAATCAGGTTGCTCGGGATTTTCTGAATATTTTCGCTCGGGAAAATATTTTTGATGATTCCTGGGGGACTGATTTGGACGAAGTATTTAAGGTCTATAACTAAAAAGTTTCAAAACTATGAAAGCTCCAGGTGATGGTGGAATTTTCTATATCCTCACCAAAAAACTCCCAGAGAGTACCTTGTCTTTCTTGGTAAAATTATTTAACAGATGTTTCCATTTGGCATACTTTCCTGATAAATGGAAAAATGCAAAAGTTGTTCCAATTTTGAAGCCGGATAAAAATCCAGCTGAAGCTTCTAGCTACCGTCCAATAAGTTTGCTTTCTTCAATAAGTAAACTTTTTGAAAAGATAATTTTAAATAGAATGATGCTTCACATCAATAGGAACTAAATTTTTGCAGATTAGCAGTTTGGATTTCGCAGCAGAACATCAACTCTTAAGAGTTACCAATTTAATTCGTTCAAGCAAATCTGAAGGCCACTCAACTGGAGTTGCTCTTCTAGACATAGAAAAAGCATTCGACAGTGTTTGGCATGAAGGTTTGATTGCTAAATTGAAAAAGTTTAATTTTCCACTTTACATTATGAAATTAGTTCAGAATTATTTAACTGACAGAACTCTGCAGGTAAATTACCAAAATTCCAAATCCAATCGGCTACCTGTTAGTGCAGGAGTTCCTCAGGGTAGCATTCTTGGGCCTATATTGTATAACATTTTCACTTCGGACCTCCCTGATTTACCTCAGGGTTGCCACAAATCTTTGTTGGCTGATGACACAGGCATTTCCGCTAAAGGAAGAAATCTTCGTGTTATTTGCAGCAGACTGTAGAAAAGTTTAGATATTTTCTCTTCTTATTTACAAAAATGGAAGATTTCTCCCAACGCTTCCAAAACTCAACTTATAATATTTCCACATAAGCCCAGGGCTTCCTTTTTGAAACCTAGTAGTAGCCACATAGTCACTATGAACGGAGTTCCAATTTCCTGGTCAAACCAAGTGAAATATCTTGGATTAATACTTGACCATAAATTAACTTTTAAAGATCACATTGAGGGCATTCAAGCCAAATGTAACAAATATATAAAATGTTTGTATCCTCTTATAAACAGGAAATCCTAACTTTGCCTGACATATAATATTTTAACAAGTTTTCAGACCGGCCATGCTCTACGCTGTTGCACTACCAGGAAAAAAGCACTTCAAAGGATTCAGAACAAAATTCTGAAGATGATTTTGAAGTTGCCTCCCTGGTACAGTACTACCGAAGTACATAGAATTTCGAATGTTGAGACTTTAGAACAAATGTCCAACAAAATAATTAATAATTTCAGGCAGAAATTTCCCTTATACTTAGATAAGATTTAGTTTTTAGTTTTAAGATATCAATTGTTATACTGACATGCAGGTTTAAAAAACCTGTTTAAAATACTGAATTGCCAAGACAGGAACTTAGATATATATCATAACAATTAAGACTGGTAAGTTACTGTAGTAACTGGAGCACCTAAGTTAAAATAAAATGTAATTTATTTTGAATTTGGAACAAATAAAGAGTAAAAAAAAAAAGAATGGAAGCTAACTTCAAAGTGAAGCATTTTTGTCACTTGAAGGTGTCACCTGGGACGAACAAAGATATAATTAATATATGTCAAAGCCAGAAGTACTTGAAACACGCTAAATTTTAGTTTAAAAGCATGGGTTATGATTGTGTAGGTTGATTAGAAATTTCAGTTATTTATTAAATAAACTTCAATTAGAGAATTCAGAATGTTAATTAACATAATAGATAGGACGCGGGGGTCCGTTTAGGGAGGCGACTAGCCTATGAAGTTGTATAATAAATCTTCCTATTTAGTGTATTTGTTAATTACAGACAATGTCAATAGCGAAAGACATATCTTCAATTAGACGCTTACGAACAAGTGAAGTTTTAGGAGAGATGTGTTAAATATGTTGATAGGTTTGAAATAAGAATAAGGATTGTTGTGCTTTAGTTTTCGGTAAGGTATGATGTGTCAACAAAACCCTTTTGAGCAAAGTTTCAAACATCAAATTGATTGAGTGATTTATTGAAAGACATTGCGTCATACATCTAACATAGTAGTAGTAGCAGTGTCGCATAATCTTATCACAATTGCTGCAAATATTGCTGGAGGGGCCGGCAGGGCTGAATACGGATCAAAACTAACATAACTACTAACACTAAAATGATCCCGGAACTAACACTTATCCATTGCACTTTTAGTTATATACTAGTTTTATTTTTCTACTAAGTCATCTATGCTTCTTTCTATTGTTTGGATCAAGTACAACTAATACTAATCTACCTTTATGTATCCCGCATAAACGCAAACCATAAATTGACCTTACCGATAATGGTTATAAATTGTTTATAATCCCTCCTTAACTTTAACTGAAATGGTTTTGTAACCTTACATGAACGTTTGTGTGATAAAGTTTTAACCTTATGTATTATGGTTTTTAGGAAGCGGACCTTACAAATAATGGGTTGTTAAGAACCATTACCATTTCAAATTCTTGTTTTCTCCATACATTTTCGGAAAGAGAACTATATTAGAACGTTTCTACTTATGGTTTGAGAACATTAATATGGTTATGGTTATGGTAGTCAGTAAGGCCCATGAATGGTTTTGTAACATCGATCAACTTTATGTGGAATATATCGCGAATTGGTTGCCTGTAAATTAATAATAATTATGAGTTCGCGATATATTCCACGTAAAGTTGAGCGATAATACAAAACGATTAATGGACCTTACTGACTACTATAACCATAATCATTGATGTTCTCAAACCATAAGTAGAAACGTTCTAATATAGTTCTCTTTCCGAAAATGTATGGAGAAAACAAGAATTTGGAATGGTAATGGTTCTTAACGACCCATTATTTGTAAGGTCCGCTTCCTAAAAACCATAATACATAAGGTTAAAACTTTATCACACAAACGTTCATGTAAGGTTCCAAAACCATTTCAGTTAAAGTTTAGGAGGCATTATAAACAATTTATAACCATTATCGGTAAGGTCAAGTGATGATTTGCGTTTATGCGGGCTGTCAAGTCGAACACTTTGACAGCTGATTTCGTGGTTGAAAATAATAAACAAATCGATTTTACACGGCTACGCTCGCTAGGTTGGATTAGTGAGATCTTGCGTCGAGAAGTCAATACAATTTATGGGTGTTTCCGTAATAAAAATGCTACGGTTAATTTGCTTAACGACGTGTTCTGGGTATCATCCAAACCATTTATGGAATAGTTAAATCATTTGAGTTATCGTTCGTTTATAGTATTTTTATTAGGGTTTGTTTGCATTCTACCCAAATTTTGTGTTGTTTTTTAAGTATCGTGTTTGTTACCGATGAAACCAATTTCGAACACCTTGCCAATCCCCATTTATTTTATTTGTCAACATTGGGCCTTTGTTAGTTTAGTGATGTTGTTTACAATATTCCCATCGGCGGTTCGGAGTTTCCAAAAGAAATTGTACTGGCGAAACGTTAATCGTTTCAAATTTCATAATCATACTGTTGAGGTTTTGTCTTAAAAGCGAAAACCGTTATTGAAAAAGCGATGGACGTGGATATAAAAGAAGAGCCTTCCATCGAAATTGAAGGATACATGCTAATAGATGCTACAGTGGGACAAAACTTCGGGTAGGTTTATACAGCGGTTGAAAAAAAAAGTTGCCAAAAAATATGTTTGATGCCTTTTTTTTCAGGTTTTCTGAAGACGATCAAGACAGTCCTAGAAAAAAACGTAAACGATCTGACAAAAGTGAGAACATCGGGGCTTACAATGCGACCGACGAAATGCAAAAGCTTTTGCGTAAGTGGGGACTGGAGGTCCTGTGCGAAAGATTCTCCAAAAATCTCATCGACTTGAACGTACTGGATTACATAGTGGACGTCGACATCGTGGATTTGTGTCGAGATCTTCCAATTAGGTACCGGTTGATATTGCGGCATAAACTGGCAGAAAAGGTATATTATGGTGAAAATTTGTATACGAAAAATCGTTTGATTGGTTTCCTTATCGAAGCGTGGAAAATGTGTGCATAATTTAGATTCGAACGAGCGAAAGGAGAAAGCGAATAGTTTAAGATTTACGAATGCATACGAAAAATCAAGAGGGGAGCCCATGCTGCGTCATAGTGTAAGCATGTAATCGACTTATAAGGATCCTTTTAAAAATTGTTTAACTTTCCATTGTTTTTACTAGGATGAGCATCTCCCAAAACGAGCCAAATGTCCAATTGATATGGTACTTAATAGACCCTTTGCAACACGATCCGAAGAAGAGAAAAGTCTACTGATTTCGATGGAAATTCCACGTCCATCCATGCCAGCGTTGAAAAGTTCCCGCAAGATGAATGCTGGTAAATCGACGGTGACTCGGAAATTTTCCCGAACCAGTTACGAATCAGCATGGTGGCTATGTGGATCACAGAAGCGCAATAAGCTTTTTTGCTGGCCGTGCTTGCTATTCAGCCAGCCTACTGATCCCTTGAATGCCGTATGGAGCAAAAAGGGCTTCAATGATCTGAACCATATCAGCTCTTCTATCAAAGTTCATTCCACATCTCAGAGGCATATCGATAATATAAATGCCTACAAACACTACGGACAACCACCGGCTACGATGGATAATGAAATGCAGTCTGGCTCAGGGATAGAAAATGGTGTCAATAATCCGAAACGAAGTATAACAATGCGAAAAGTCTCATCGAACGATAATAGTAAAAATGCGAATGACAAGAAGATGGCTAATAAGTCACCTGTAGCTAACGCGTCAGCAACTTTGGAAGATGACCATTCGCATATAGTGAATATCCTGAATCAGGATGTGAAACTACAATCAAGTAAACCTCCGTCAGACCGAGCGTAAATTCAAGCGAATTATTCAACTTGTTGGAATGATGTAACATGTAGCTATTGTATAATTTAAGATAATAGAACTTATGTTTTATGAAAAAAATACCTACACGTGAACTCTATGTAGCTGTTCGCATGCAGAGATCATTATTGTTACCTTGTACTATTGCTGGTTTGGCGGTTTCTTTTTCTAGGGTTTTTAAGTTTCTATTGTGAGCGTTTTCCGGCTCTCAATCAGTTCAGTTTTTCTTGAAGCACACTTCCACGGTTATTATTTGAGAGCTTTCTATGCCAACCAATGTAAGAATTTGTGTATTGTGTGATAAGTACAATTTCAAACTCCAAAACTCAAATTTCCTCGGCTGGACCGTGAATCGAACCCGCCGCCTGCGGCCGGCAATACCTTAGCTTTACTGAATACTTAGAGAGAGAGATTCATTTCTACACAGATTAAAGAGAAATTCCTAAAAACGCAGGTCACTGAGCGGTGAGTAAACGACGTTTTTTTTTATGAATGTCTCTTTTATCTGAGTTAGTCTCATTGGCCGTGCAGCCCCTTTTCACTCTTTGGAATTTAAATAGACAGATAACAGCGCCAAACGGTTTGTGACGAGACTACGTTGAACTGCAGCGTTTGAAGAAACGGAAGAAACACGCACCCCAACATTTATGCATGTACGAACCACACCACTGAGTGGACGGTACAGCGCAAATGAAAACACAAAGTGGTGTCATCATTCAGTTCGGTAGCTTCCGTTTGTGTTTGAAATTCGCCGGCATTGACAAATACCGTCCTACGTTATAAAATATGAAAGTAATCATTATTCTAACATACTTTTTTAAATTGCATGCGTGCTGCGTTGGCCAAGACAATATATTTTATAGTGTTTGTTTAGCAATGATTTCAATACGTTACAGTTCCAGTGACTAGGGTGTTGGAATAATATAGATTGCTAGCGTTTATCGTACGCACACTACGCCACGTATAAGCTATATTTTTTCATAAGGAAAAAAAAAATCATGGCCGAAAATTTTCCTGATGAAAACAAATCACTTACACAATCACACTTTAGCCACCTTTAGCAATCTCTATGCGTAATGGAGAGGGAATGTTTTTTTCATATTTACTTCTTATAAAGATTATTTAGAACAACAGCTTCGCAAATCATCAATTACTATTAGAGATTTGCATCACCGGTATCAGCGGTGGTGCTATTGGTAACTCTTTCATTCGAAAGCAAAACATATTACAAGCCCATCATGATTGTTTTGTAAAGTGTTTCTGTTGCGAGAAACTTGTTATCGCAATATAATGATGATAACAACAAGGTTGATATCATCCTCTTCTCTCGATTGATCATCAACGTCCGCGCTGGCATCTGACAGTTGACAGCCCTGGTGGTGAAGTTAGCGGGTGACTCCCAACAGCTTCAATGTGCACTCACCAGATGGCAATGCGATCACATAAGGGTGGTGTATCCATTGTCTTGTTCGAGGAATTGATTAGTCGGATATCTTGTTCATTAGATATCTTTGCGTGTAGGCTATCTCTGTTCGTGACTGATGTTATTTGTGGGTAGCCGTTTTGATATTTGTTGTGATCATTTTAGGAAAAAAATAACAGCATACATACTTTTTATTCTATATTTATGTTGCTATTTCTACAATACGTGAATGATACACAAAGATTGCACAAGTACAGCAACTCTAAATAAAATTACTGATAAGTAATATTGGTATAGGTATCAAAATGTACATTACATATTCTTGTTAACTGAATTGAATCTTTTTTCCGTTCTCTGATCACACAGCCGAAAAATTGAGATTTTTCTTGCGTTTTGCATTTTGAATTTTGATATTCAACAATCGATTGATGCGTGAATCGTCAAAACGCGCCATCGCCTGTACCCGATCATTCGTTTCCCGCATAGCTCTGTTGTAGACTTTCTCTGTATACGGGTTAAAGCTCTATTAGATTATTTCACTGCCCGAAAATGTTAAACATCTTTCAATACCTTTGATAAAACTCAACTTTTCCGGTTCTAGTTGAACGCTCGGCGTTGCATTGCTGCCAGCATTGTTTGATTTCCGTCCAGTCACACTGCTCACTGCCAGCCGTTCGTGTCCCCATAGTGCCACCGCCAGTTTGCTGACGAACTTGAGATCGTACTTTTCGCCCTGTTCGATCGAATCTATGTCCATCATTACTGTACAAGGGATGAGAGAATCTCGCACCACGACGTCGCCATTATCCTGTACGAATAAATAACACAACCCTTTATAAACTTAAAGATTTCCAATTACAAGCATATACTCAGCCTACCAGGGTGTAGGCACCGCTGAACAAAACAAATTTGTTCACGTTCTGTTCCTGCTTTGGTTGCTGCTGTAACTGTGGCGGAATCCTTGAAAGTGTACTAGTTGATGGAGAGGGACTCATAGGAAGCTGTTTGATATTGACGGTCGGTGTGGGCATTGGATAGGTGTTAACATGGTCGTTTATCGAAGGGACGGCTTTCATCAGAGCATTCGGGTTGTACGACCTAAGCTTATCCGTAAGTTCACGATTGATCTTCACAAGATCAGTGTTGCGCACACGAACCTCTTTCAGTCGTACCACTAGCTGATGGTTATGCCGCTTAAGCCAATCGTTTTCTCTTCTTAATCGTTCTAGTTCTTCAAACGGAGAAGCCGCAGACGATGACTGAGCCTGATCTGAACGTTCGTCAGGAGGCTTGTCATATTCGTAATATTCTTCATCCAAGAATTCTAGTTCTGGATTGGGCGTATTGCTCGACGGATGCTCGTTTTGATGATTAACTTGCCAGGCATCGGTGAGATTCCGTTTCATTCGCTTCGAAAATGGTTGATCACTACCACACTCCAACGAATCTGTACCGCTTAGTGAGCTTGCCCTAAAAATGAATACATAATCGTAGAATTCAAATTAGTTAATTAAAAACGATGCACTTACTGAAACTCATTCACAATTGAATCCAACAGACGGTTCTGCAGACCATTCCCATTATGATCCGGTTGCGTTCGAAATTGCTCGTTCAAAAAATTGCTCAAACCATCAACATCGCTGGTCTGATCAAAATTGTATCCCTCGTCGAGTTTTTCCTCCTTGATGTTCATCTCCAACTGAAATTCTTCGGTTTGTCGAATTCGATCGCCCACTTCCGCCGACCGCATCTTTCTGTTCCACTGCAGCTCTTTGATTCGCAGATAGAATCGGTGAAAGCTTTCCAACTGCTGGCAGCAACTCCCACAAACAAATCCTTCCACAGTGAGACTTTCTTCGATAAAATATTTCTGAACAAGGGTTCCAACGTTCCGACGGACACCTTCTTCTCCACGAATCGCAATGAATATCTCTTCCTCCGTTGCTGACGACTTTTCCGTGAAGCACAAAAAACAATAACAGTGAATTTTATCTGATTCCTGCTGTTGTTGCTGCTGAATATTCAAATCCATTGTTGAAGATTTATATAAACAACAACAGCGCGTATTGCACCATCAAAATATTTTTAAATTTTATAGAATAAATTTACGCGAAATTTTCCACAATACGACAGGGTAATGCATCCTAAACAAACTCGCTTCAACGAATAGGACAAAAAAACAACAACAAAAATGACAGTTCCTTTTTGTTTGTTTTCCTTGGGGTGCATGTCAAACAATTCGAAATGAAAGGAATTCGAGTCACAAGGTCGAATCCGAGGCCGAATCAACATTAACCGAAAAGTTAAGAAGGAGCATTTACTACAGTAACCATTAACATTAAAGTTTTACCATAATACATAAGGTTATTTTTCCCTTGATTTGCATTGTGCTGAGCACCAATGCTACCAACGCCGCTGCCTCTCCCACAATTGGACCCTACCTATCGACCCATCAACTCATGAACCGGGGACCAACGGCTTTACTTCCCATCCGAAGGAAGGCGTGATTAGAGATGTTATACCTCATAACATCCCGGCGGCGCCGACTGGGATTGAACCCAGGCCTGATGGGGTTAGAGGTAATCACTCTTGCCGCTTATACATAAGGTTAAAACTTAATCTTTCAAACGATCATGTAAAGTTCTATAAGGTTTTGCACCGTCGGGGTTAAAACCATGGACCCAAAGGTCAGGACCAATAGCGTGGAAGGAATTTATCGAAAAATCATGGTTCTCGGTAATAGAATGGAAGTGCATGGGGGAATGCTGTCAACAATGCTGTCGATTTGTTTACCAACAATAGCTGACGTTTTGTTTTAACCTAACTTTTTTCCTAACCTGAACTTCAGAGCTAGGATTAATGTCATTGTTGATGTTGATCAAAATGGAATCAGTTTTATCACTTAATTGTTGGAGGTCCAACTAGAAATCATGCAAGGCGGACCCAGGTACGATCCTTGTGTAGCGAGGACCGAATGGACCAGATCCCGCCAGTCAGATGATTGTCCGCGGGAAGATTGTTCAAAGGAGGATTGTCCGCATGAGGATTGTTTGAAGGAAAATTGTCTGCTACCAACGAGTCAAGGAGTACGTGGAGGAAGAAGATTTTCCGGAACTCTGAAGCTCTTTATATGTTGCAGGGGGAACGATACATTCGGATGCATCCTGATCCCCATCAAATTTATCCATAAAATTCTGCTTATATATCCAGAACATGAGTCAGAACTTTTTTCTCCAGACATCCTTATTCGATTTTTTGTCTATTTTTCAGTATATCCCTGTTGATCCTTCTGTCTATTCCGAGGGGGTGACACATCTAAATCTCAATTCCAGATGCTCAAAAAATCTCACACTAGCGAATCAATCTTCGAAAAATCATCTTCCATTTCTCGCATCTACTTGCATCGTGCTTCATCTTTTTGCAGGAAATCTTCAAAATCGACATAAATCTTCCATCTATCTACTCAGCGTGCGTGCAGCTAGCCACAGCAAAACAGAATCTTTTCTGCATCGTAGATAGAGTCGTCCCCCTCGGTCTATTCCGAAAATTCTTTCAATTCCGCTCGCATGCCGTCACAGTGTTGCCATATCTTTTTTGAAGCAACATGCAATGCATCAGGATGAGTGTCGTTCCCCAACGTTTTCCTTGAACGTCATTGATTGTCTCTGAAGATCTTTCCTGGAACTATCTTCCTGCGGACAATCGTCCAGTGGACAATCTTCCTCTGATCAATCTTCCTGCGGACCAGTGTTGGAAAAGTTCGCGATATTTCACGAAGTTCACCAAGGGAAAAGTTCGCGAGTCATAGGGAACTTTGATGAACTTTTCCATCACTGCTGCGGACAATTCTCTTCCTCCAAATAATCTTCGTGCGGACAATCCTCTTTCGAACAATCCTTCTGCGGACAACCCTCTTTCGAACAATCTTCCTATGGACAATCCTCCTACGGACAATCCTCTTCCGAACTATTTTCCTGCGGACAATCGTCCTGTGGACAATCTTCTCCTGAACAATCTTCCTGCGGACAATCCTCCTTCGAACAATCCTCCTGCGGACAATCCTCCTCCAAACAATCTTCCTGTCGACAATCTTCCTGTCGACAATCTTCCTGTCGACAATCTTCCTGCGGACAATCCTTCTTCGAACAATCCTCTTTCGAACAATCCTCCCGCGGACAATCCTCTTCCTCCGGATAATCTTTCTCCTCGACTCGTCGGTAGCGGACAATATTCCTGCGGACAATCCTGCTGATAATCCTCCTTCGAACAATCCTCCTCCGAACAATCTTCCTGCGGACAATTCTCCTTCGTACAATCTTCTCCCGAACAATCTTCTTGCGGACAATCCTCCTCCGAACAATCCTTCGAACAACCTTCTCCCGAGCAAACTTCCTCCTTTGAACAATCTTCCTGCGGACAATCCTTATTCGAACAATCTTCCTGGGTACAATCGTTCTTCGAACAATCCTCCTGCGGACAATCCTCCTGGGGACAATCAAAATATATGATGTTCAAGGGCCCTGGAGCTAATGAACTATTAGATTAGATAATTAACTATTTTAACTAGTTCCGCTTTTTTTTTTTGTTAGCATCCATGCCTCTCACGCCAAAGTCACGAGTTCAAATCTCAAAATGGCGAAACAAAAAGAAACGTGCTAAGGGATATGACACACCTCAATCTGACTGCCACGGCAGCGGGTACCGCGCTTTTTTTTTGCTGGCGCTTTTGCTGGCAGTTGTGCTGTCTGTGTCACTTTTGACACCTGTTCTGGTACAAATTGCTGTCTTTTGCTCTAGTACCGGGTGCACCACCCTAATAAAAAATGACCATAAACGAACGATAACCCAAATCATTGAACTATTCCACAAATGGTTTGGATGATACCCAGAACACGTCGTTAAGCAAATTAACCATACAATTTTTATTAGGGCAGGTACACTAAAAAAAACAGCTAGGTGAACCAGAAAAAAATCGCGTGAAGGAGGTCCTTACCCTTTGGGTCCATGGTTAAAACCTCGGTTAAAACGTGGTTAAAACGCTGTCCAGACTGGAGATTTATAACATGTTATAACGGTTGTCATCTAATTGCAACACAGAAACCACCATCAAAATAGCGCTATAACATGTTATAACCATAGAGGTAACTCTAATAGTACGTTCAGACTACAGAGTAATAACAACAATCAATACGAAACTAACGATTTTAAATTGGCTCACCACTTTAGTAGCCTATTGGTCCCAAGCAAACGATTAACGTACCCTATTCTAGTTGAAATTCTATTACTACACTATGTTTGTTTTGATTCGCTATGAAAGTTTGACAGATAACATCAGGGGTGTGTGGATTCATGCAGAACATGCAGGGGTGAGTGAAATAGCTTGGGACTGCTTGGGACCGTTGTTCTGGTACTGAGTGAGCCAAAAATAATAATGATTTTCTTCGGGACCCAGTGGTCTTAGAGTTACCTCTATGGTAATAACATAGAGGTAACTCTAAGACAAGTAGGTCCCGAAGAAACGTGCTCAACTTTTTGGCTCACCTCTGGTACTATCTTCGGTCCCAAGCTTGTCGAATCACCCCTCGAAACATAGGAAAAACCAATAACCCCTCATTTTATCTGTCAAACTTTCATAGCGAATCAAAACAAACATTGCGTAGTACTAGAATTTTGACTAGAATAGGGTACGTTAATCGTTTGCTTGGGACCAATAGGCTACTAAAGTGGTGAGCCAATTTAAAATCGTTAGTTTCGTATTGATTGTTGTTATAACTCTGTAGTCTGAACGTACTATAACCATAGAGGTAACTCTAAGACTAGTAGGTCCCGAAGAAACGTGCTCAACTTTTTGGCTCAGCTCTGGTACTCTCTTCGGTCCCAAGCTAATCGATTCACCCCTCGAAACATAGGAGAATTTCGACTAGAATGGGGAACGTTAATCGTTTGCTTGGGACCAATAGGCTAGTCAAGTAGTGAGCCAATTTAAAATCGTTAGTTTCGTATTGATTGTTGCTATAACTTCAATCTGATGACAGTTCAGTGGTACGTGACCCCTAATTTTATCTGTCAAACTTTCATGGTGAATCAAAACAAACATAGTGTAGTACTAGAATTACGACTATAATGGGTGACGTTGATCGATTTGCTTGGGACCAATAGGCTACGCTATAATAAAAAAATACAATAAATGAACGATAACCCAAATAATAGAACTATTCTACAAATGGTTTGTTGATACCCCCTACACGTCGTTAAGCAAAATAACCATAACAATTTTATTAGGGTAGTCAAGTAGTGAGCCAATTTAAAATCGTTAGTTTCCCCCGATTGTTAAAACTCTGCACTGAACAAATTCTAGAAAATTGTTCCGCTTATGCCTTGTTCAGACTGGAGAGTTAGACCACCATCAAAATAGCGCTATAACATGTTATAACCATAGAGGTAACTCTAAGACAAGTAGGTCCCGAAGAAACGTGCTCAACTTTTTGGCTCACCTCTGGTACTATCTTCGGTCCCAAGCTTGTCGAATCACCCCTCGAAACATAGGTAAAACCAATAACCCCTCATTTTATCTGTCAAACTTTCATAGCGAATCAAAACAAACATTGCGTAGTACTAGAATTTCGACTAGAATAGGGTACGTTAATCGTTTGCTTGGGACCAATAGGCTACTAAAGTGGTGAGCCAATTTAAGATCGTTAGTTTCGTATTGATTGTTGTTATAACTGTGTAGTCTAAACTTCATGTCAACCGGTGAACCCCTCGTGTTTATTTCAGTTACCGTGGGGACGTAATTTGTGATTAGCCCCGGTCCCTTTCAAATTGTATCATAATTTATGTACGTTCCTTATATTTGAAATGACGTTTCACATTCATCTAGTGATGGCCAAGGGGGGGAGGTGGCTGTCAAATACGAACAAAAGTCGCCTACCTCGCATAACTGGTTCCAAACGTAAACAAGCCATAAGAAACCTACAGCGTTTGTTTACGTTTGGAACCAGTTTCATACAAGATGATCAGTAGGCTGATTTGACAGCACATCCCCCCCCAGGTGATGGCCGATTTTCATTCATAAGGGCGTAAACGCGATGATCGAATCTCTTCGTCGATTTTCTCTTTTGTTAATAACTCGCTAGATTTCTAGATAAACATTGCAAAAGGTCCTATCTGCATTGATTGTTTCTCTTCATCGACTTTCTCTTTTGTCAATAACTCAGCTACAAAACTTCCCCTTGTTGTATTTGACGTTTTGGACGCTAATTAAGAACCTTCTTTATCAAACTATGTGTAGAATTAGCGCGAAATCTGTTTGCATAGCAGTGGTTATGAAAAGAGAAAGTCGATGAAGAGAATCGATCAAAGCAGATAGGACCATTTGAAATGTTCATCGAGATTTGTCTGTGCATTTTGCTGTTGCTTTTGATAGCCAATAAAACCTGTTACAACTCTGCATTGAACAAATTATAGAAAATTGTTTCGCTTAGCTGTAGCAATGCGAAGAGAAAATCTATGAAGAGAATCGATCATCGCGTATACGCCCTTATGCATGCTCACTGTCGAATTGATTAATCGATTAACGAACCGAAAAGTAAAATATTTGTAATCGGTTATATCGTGCCGATATAAGCATTAACATCTCCAGATGATCATCACCGATCGTTTCAAACATGTGCTGCACCTAGTGCTGCACTCTCATTGGTTGAAAAAATGGCAGCACAGCGAACAAAAAATAATCGATTAGTTGTTAATCGAGTAATTAAAAAATGGGACATCTCTGACTTTGGTGTGTTTGTTTTGGTAAAAATGAGCGCAAAATTTCATCTTTACCGAGGGGGCAGCAAAACCTCAAAATAAGGCTGTCCACGAGACAGTCGCGATCAGCTGACTTTTTTGTTTACCAAGAACTTTTGACAGTTCATGAATTTCTGCTTTGTTTATGTTTACATTTAGCACCATTAACACCAGATCACTCACACACTCTTGATTTCTAGTTGTCAGTTCCACTGAGAAACGTCTATTAGGAACTGCAGCGTGACGTCATAAATGAACTCAGTGTTAGCCGGCTGAACCTTTTTGACAGTTCAGTGGTACTGTTTACAAGCACTTAGTCGTTTTTTCAAAAAAAAATATTCAAAAATTTCCGAATTTCAACTTGAAAATTGTCGAGGAACAGCGCGTAGAAAGGATGTTGCTCATGGACATTGCAGAAGTGAGGTTTACATCTCACTGCAGTCCGAAAAATTATTGAGAAAATCCACCCAAGAAAAAATCGACTAAGTCCACGTAAACAGTACCACCATAGAGGTAACTCTAAGACCACTGGGTCCCGAAGACAATCATTATTATTTTTGGCTCACTTAGTACCAGAACAACGGTCCCAAGCAGTCCCAAGCTATTTCACTCACCCCTGCATGTTCTGCATGAATCCACACACCCCTGATGTTATCTGTCAAACTTTCATAGCGAATCAAAACAAACATAGTGTAGTAATAGAATTTCAACTAGAATAGGGTACGTTAATCGTTTGCTTGGGACCAATAGGCTACTAAAGTGGTGAGCCAATTTAAAATCGTTAGTTTCGTATTGATTGTTGGTACCACTGAACTGTCATCAGATTGAGGTTAACCCCGACGGTGCAAAACCTAATTGGATCACCTTATTACACTCAAAGATAAATTAAATCATAAAAGCTTAAAAAGTATGCAGTTTCCCGCATCACCTTATTGAGTCTGAACCATGATTACTTCGGCAATAGTCATGCATGATTAAAATCGAAATGATCTTTCCAGTATTAAATTTTATTTTTTTTTAATACTGATATATAATCAAAAAAGATTAAAATTCAATCAAAAATTAGCGTGACGTCATTAATGAACTCAGTGTTAATCGGCTGAACCTTTTTGACAGTTCAGTGGTACTGTTTACAAGCACTTAGTCGTTTTTTCGAAAAAAAAAAATTTCTAAAATTTCTGAATTTTAACTTGACAATTTTTGAGGAACAGCGCGTTGCAAGGATGTTGCTCGTGAACATTGCACAGCAAAAAAAGTTGTTGAATATTACATCGAAACTGCTGCAACCAGGTCAATCCATCGGTTGTGTAATATCACATTGTACGATGTACATCGATTTTGCGAACAAAATTACATCCATTGATGTAATATTGTATCTGCTTTTTGCTATTACATCATTATTTCATACATCAGCTTGAATTACGTTGATCGATATTACATTTTTTTTTTGCTGTGTGCAGAAATGCTGTTTACATCTCACTGAAAAATTATCGAGAAAATCCACCCAAGAAAAAATCGACTAAGTCCACGTAAACAGTACCACTGAACTGTCATCAGATTGAGGTTAACCCCGACGGTGCAATACCTAATTAGCTGTATGCTCACTGTTGATGTATTCCTCGATGTGATCAAGTTATCAACGACCTTAATAAAATGTGTATGGTTATTTTGCTTAACGACGTGTTCGGAGTATCATCCAAAATATTTGCGGAATAGTTCCATCATTTAGGTTATCGTTCGTTTATTGTAATTCAGGCATAACATTTGATAACAGCACAAAAGCATTTGTAAACAAACTTTCTAAGGCCCTTTACACGCGAACCAAAGTACGCCCAAGCAAACCAATACCATTTTCGGAAAGGTGATAGCTGCCCCTTGATTCACGTGTAAAGGGCCTTAGAAATTTTGTTTACAAATGTTATGCCTGAATTGTTCATTTAGGGAAGAGAAAGTCAACGAAGAAAATCGATCAATGTTACTTAGGACATAATGCAATGTTCAGTTTGAGAACGCTGATGAAGAGAATCGATCAATGTAGATAGGACCTATTGAAAAGTGGCACGAGAAATGTGCGTGTAAACGTCAGAATGGTCAATAAAATAATAACATAAACAAAAACACAGACACCGCACCTCAGTTCAGTCGGTTCGGGGACTTTTACGCTCTGTATTATTCTTCAAAAACCATGAAAAAATAAGTGATAAATTTATTATCGAAGAAATATCTAGCACTTTTGTTAATACTACCTGCTATGTTTTAATGTATGTTAAATAGAATGAGCGCTGAATTCAATTCATTTCAGAATATTTTTTATGATAGTGTTTGGATCGATCAAGATTGCTGGCGGTAAGCAATGGACGTTGAAATAAAACATGAACCTTCGTCTATCATAGTCGATGGTTTCGAACTGGCGGAAGACATGCAACCACAACAGCCAAGGTAAGCTTTGATAATGATGGTTCCACCTCTTACCCTTACAATGGTTTGAGCTGGACGATTTATCTATAAGATAATTATATATGACGATTTAACCAGGTTTGAAAAAAAATCGAACTGGTTACAGTTACGTATATAAATTCCCTCTAGAGTTTACAGTTGCTTCACAGCGATATAAATGTGGAAAAGCTCAGGCGTCCACCTCTTAGTTTGCCTTTTTGTCCACCTAAAATATTCATAAGTATTACAAGCAATCAAGAGTTAATGAACAATCAATAAAGCATCCTATTGCACTAGCAACCCCGCAATCTGATGCTATCATAATTTTCAGCAATGTCAGGAATGCTCACGAACCCCCAACATTTGCCAGAAAACTTACTACTAACTCAATGTATCTTCCAAATATGTTAAATTTATCATCAAATGTTAAATTCAGTACTCTATATCCGTAATACGCGCGCGAGACTCAAACCTTTGTAGACTACTTTTTTTATATTTAATCTACTACTATTAAATCAAATATTAAAAATTCATCATCACCATCGTGGCGAACAAAAATAGTTTTTGCAGTGCTACAATAATTATTAAAAAGTCATTATGACAGCTATCCATACAAAATAATCCGTTATAGATAACTTCGTCAAGAGCTTTCGTACCAAAGAGTTATCTCTGTCGAGCAGTCTTGTGTTAATTTGCCAAATGTTTGCAGTACCAGTATTCACCCATATGGATATGGTTACCACAATAGTTCCGCGTATCCTCCGGATAGACATACCCATCTGACATCGGAAGACCTATACCAGTTTGATGAAATGCAAAGGCTGCTGAAAGAATGGGGCTTGGAGGTCCTTTCGGAAAGGTTTGTTCAAAATTTGATTGATGTAAGCGTTCTAGACTATATCGTAGAAATGGACATAGTCGATCTGTGCAAGGATCTCCCGATTCGCTTTCGACTGATTTTGCGTCACAAGTTGAAACAACAGGTATGGTTTAAAACTTCATTAATAATTTCAATCTTTAAGGCGATATATTTTTTAAGAACTACAAACCAACTCATGTTACGGAGCTAACAATCGCCACTAACAACAAGAAATCACATATTGTTCCTGGAAGTTCTTACAATCCTGCTAAGCAAGCAAAATGTAATGAGAAAACATCTCCGGTGCCGCACACTTCGAGTAAAACATCGACAACGATGACGAAAAATCCAACAACGGAGATCATGGATGGACAATCCAATAATGCAACAGAAAAACCACAACTAATTACCGGTCAATTTGTGAGTCGATACTTGCAGAAGAAATTTCGATAACAATTTCAATCTCATCCACTTTTCAGAAACTTGTGGACCTATTACAGCAATATGAGTCAGGACGCTTGTTTCTGGATCAGTACAAAATCGAGAACGGCAAACGAATTTACTCGGCAGATTCCAGAAACCAAATCAAGAAGGCAGTGGTTGACCACTACTTCCGACTTGGAAGGGGCCACATATCTACGCATCAGTTCCGCGAAATGGTTCAATTGATTGTCGACGAGCTTCCGGATGAAGATCCAAACATTTGGTACTGTGTGCCCAATGCCGATTTGTCCTTATCTCCACGCGGCTTGCTCTACACGCGATACAGATATATTTCTCAGACGAACAAACAGTACAAAAAGCAAAAAGACGATGTCGTGGTACATTATTCGAGAGTTTTAGCTCAACAGGCCAAAGATACATGGGAAGCACTCAATGGCATCGATCAAACTGCGTGTTTAGGTATTTTATATATTTTTTCAAAAACAATCTTGTAACTACAGTCTTCAATGTCTTCAAAATCCATTTTCTTACTTCAGTTGCAAAAGCAAAGCTCAAAGAGATAGAGAACGTTGACGCCAAAGAGGTTATCAATGCATGGAAGGCGAGCTATCCCCTCAGGCGATATGAAGCAACAATGGGCCTGTTACAACTGAATGAATTTCAATCGCTGACCAAATTCGAAAGAGTTCATGACTTGGTACAACATAAGACATCAAAATGAAGCATGTTTACGATTTGTGTATTTCCAGATTACGCTAGATTTTTGCTTGATACACTCTATTGCAAGTGAATTCTTCTACGAGCGTATACCACACTTTGTGGATCGTTTCAAGACCGTTTATGTCGGATATAAATCACTTATCGAAGAAGACAAAGTGCTTCCATCGGCTATAGTATCGGCTTTTATGGAACACAAGGAACAAGGACTCACAGAAAAGATGATATTTCTTGCATTCTACTCATTGCCTCACATCCTGCGTCAAAACTTTTTAGGCGGCAAAGGAAGAAAGAGGCGCAAATTAAGTACGATGCAGTCGCGCCTCAGCTTTATCACTCTATTATCGGTATGTATACATGTATCCAACTGAACAATCTTAAAGACGATAAAGACAAAAAAAAACATGGACCACAGAATGCTTTACAGGATAACCTCTTAATTGCAGGCGGAATATATGCTGGTGGATTGCGTTGAGGATCGCAGAAGAACTGCTGCTGAAAATGATAATCCAAACAGACCGTTCATCATCGCCATTGGCTCACTTGCCGGTGATATACGCAGCTTCTACGTCGTGCTGGATGAATTGATTTTTCCCTGCAAAACCATAGTCCAAGCAGTGGATCTTCTGTTCAAGTTGTATACCGTGTTTCATATGGACTATGCGCAGGAATGCGAATGTGTGCTACGCTTCATTCAGGGTTACCTGTACAAGCTGAAATTCCAAGGTGACCTAAGCAATACACTTGCTACGGCAGTAATTACTGACTTCAACCGTTTGTGATGTGCTAGTTTTTGTTTTAGAATCTGGACAAAGTTCGTAGCATCCCAAATATGTTCTTTTCTGTAATAAAAACATTAAAACCAAAACATAAAAAATGTTCAGTCATTAGTGAACTCTCGTCGAATGGTTTTGGTGTCCTCGGAGCACTTATTTCTTGATTCATGACAGAAGACACCAAGACGGTTAGACGGTTATCACACTTTTTTTTATAACCGGACGGTGAGATCGACTCAAAATTGAGTGGGTTTTCTGGGGGCGACCCCGGCGTAGTGGTTAACATCCATACCTCTACGCCAAAGTCACGAGTTCAAATCTCACCCCCGGACAAGTCACAAATGACCCAAGAGTGTTAAAGTGACTATAATAAAAAAAAAGAGTGGGTTTTCTTTCAAAATCGCAAAAACGCATGTTACTCATACACTGAGTAATTTTTTTCGGCTTTCCTAACAAATCTGCTCGAATATGAGGAAAATCGACGAAAATTTGAATTCAAATAAGTTCCAATTTTAGTTTTTTGAAGACTATATTCCAATCATTTCAAGGACAAATTTTAAAATAGACAAGTGCTTTTGTAAAAATTTACTTCAATTGTAATTTTTTCATGGTAACTTCGAAGACTTCTTGGGAACGTCTAAAGAAGTTTTGTTTTTAATGGAATCATTGATATAATGGTCTTGTTTTATAACGTCGCAGTGTTTAATGGAATTTTTCGACAGTCCCTAAAGTTTTCAGGACGTTATGGAGTTCCCAGAACGTATCTGAACCTATCTGGACTGTTCTAAACAGCTCTAAAATGGGTAGATCCTATGTTTGTCTATTTTAAGATCTTCGAAGTTCACTGTAGTTCGTTAAACTTCTCAGGAGCTCTTCAAGCTTCGCAGCTCATTTTTTCATTATCTCCCTGATTATCTTAGGATTGATTATCAGCGAACTGCAGACAAGTTCAGAGAGCCTCAGAGAAGTTTGATGCTTGCACATTTTCGATAAATTTCCTGAATTTCAAAGAAGAACTGTGGCCTTCAGAAAAATTCAGTGAAATTTCCAGATGCACAAGGAATTTCCTTGCTGTTTTTAATTGACCACTTTGTCAAGCAGTTTTGGCGTGACTTTCTACCAGCGATTCCACAAAACTGGACCATCTAATTTCTATTTTTTTATGAAACGCACAAATGATGGCTACTTTTCTCGTGGTTCTAGAAGAAAAAATCTCAAAATAATGTTTTAGTTCAAAGTTCGAGTGGTAGTAAACGTCATTTCAACTGCTCGAGTGATTAATTAGGAAATCTCAGAAAGACTCAGTAAAAATTTGAAAGAGGTTTGGGTAAATTACAGAAGAAATTAGGGAACTCTAGGAAAGTCTGGAACATTTAAGAGAATCTTCCTGAATTTCAAATAAGATCAATAGAGTTCAAAGAAATTAAACGAATTTGAAAGATGTTTAAGAAGCTTTATGTAATATCAGACATACTAAACGAACACCTCAGGGCAGTTTGGGAGAACTTCAGAAAACAAATTGGGAATCCCAGAAAGCCTCTTCAAAAGATCCTTAGGGGAGCTTAGAGTAATTTTAGAGGAGTTCAAATAGTTCTTATGTGTACAAATCACACATACTATTAATTTGACTCATAAATTTCATTTCTACTTCTGAGTGGATTCTGTTTATGTGTGGACACATGAAAATCATGTGGAATTTTACATGGAAATTTGTCACTAAAAATGTGTCGAATTTTATGAGTGTATGTGATCAAAAATAAATATGTTTATTTTTAACATACACTCAAATAATTTATCACATATCTAATGGATGAAAACCATGTGAATTTCACATAGCTTTCATGTGATCACATAGCTAAAAATCTCACCAAAAAATCACATGAATATTATGAGGCCGATGAAATTCATATGAAAAATCATATAAAATTAACGTGATCGCATAAATGTTATGTGAAATTCATATGAATTCCATGAGTTCCGTGATTTGAGGGAAATTCAAGACCAACAATTGAAATGGCCTTAACTCCATTTTGTAAACAAACCTTGTAAGGCCATTTTCTCGCGAACCGAAGTCCGCAAAGGCAAACCAACATAATGAACAGGTAGGGGAAATTCTCCTCTACCCGATTTTGGTTTAGGTTTGCGAATGAAGGTTTCGGTCCGCGAGAAAATTACCTTACAAGGTTTGTTTACAAAATGGAGTTAAGGCCATTTCAATTGTTGGTCTGGAATTGGGTATTTTTGGGTAGTTTTTCATCTCCGTGTACCTTAATTAATTTTGTCGACGATACACGGTAAGAAAAAAGTACCCAACGGCCAGTTCACTTTTACTTACTTTTGACTAGTTTGTCTCCTTTTCTCCTTCTAATGTTGTCAAAAACGGAGGAGCAAAACCACCCAACAGGGGTACTAAAGTGTGGGAACTCAACGTTGAGTAGAATCATATTTACCTACTGTTGGGTACAACTAACTTACTTTTGGTTAAAAAGCCAGTGGAAAATTCCATACGAACTGCACACAAGTAAATGAAAATTACTTTGACCCGCTTTACCTACTTTTGGGTTCCTGCACTAAAGTGCCGAGATGAGTGAAAAGAACTTAATTTTGGGTACTTTTTTCTAACCGTGTAGATTTTTCTGCGTGTCAGTACCCTTCACGGTAACCGCAAAATCCCCAATAATGACTACAAAGTAAGCATTTTTGAGGGAAACTGGGACTACCCATTAAATGAGTAAAATTTTACCCCTTTATGAGTTATTACAACTGCAAAAACAAGTAGTAAGTATTCATTATTTGAATAATAAATACTCATAAATGGGTAATATTTTTACTCATTTAATGGGTAGTCCCAGTCTCACCAAAAATGCTTACTTTGAAGTCATTATTGGGTATTTTGCGGTTACCGTGTACTAAACAAATACCATACACGGTAACCCCAAAATACCCAATAAGGACTACAAAGTAAGCATTTTCAAAGGAAACATGGGACTACCCATTAAATGAGTAAAATTAAACCCATTTATGAGTAATTAAAACTACGAAAACAAATAGTAGTTATTCATTTTTGAATAACAAATACTAATAAATGGGTAATATTTTTACTCATTTAATGGGTTGTCCCAGTCTCTCTCGAAAATACTTACTTTGTGGTCATTATTGGGTATTTTACGGTTACCGTGTAAACGAACTGTATCCCGGATGGGTACACGCTAACTTAAAAGTACCCATTAATGAGTAAAATTTTACCCATTTTAGAGAAAAGTGGCTTAACTCATGAAATGAGTATAACCGACTTTACTCATTAATGAGTATTCGACGAATACTTCAGAAAATGGGTATTTTTTATTCTTGATGCTTTTTTCGTTCATGAGTAAAAAGTATTCATTTTATTGAAAATTTAGCGTCAGGTGCATTCTGCCATTAAATATAAAACCAAGTATGTAGTACCTTTTGGAAAAAAGATAAATTTATATGAATCATTAAAACGCTTAACATTGTTTATTAACTTCGGAATCATGTGATCGAATTCTGCATGAACCACTGCCGACATATCAAAACCGGGCATCATCTCCAGTATCAGCCGGCGTGTTGCAATATTCAATATTCAATGAGCATGTTCGGGAAAAGAAGTTATCTGGTAAATAATAGTGTTGAGTCTTCCGGTTTACTATTCGGATGCCGAACATCGAATGAGGATCCGGAACCATTCGCTTGTTAATTTCAGTTTCCTTCTCGTAGATCTCCGCTATCCTGAAATGGGACACACTTTTTAGAATATCTTAATTTGTTTGATTATTCCACTTATAATATTTACCTCCAAACAATCGGCTCCAGTTTTTGCCAGGGAGGCAGTGCCGTTCTTTCCACGGTTGCATAAATCACGGAAATCCCGAACACGAAAAATTTCCACCTGATACGCGAAGATGGCGTCACTTTTATAATTAAAACCTTAATGAATATTTTTAACACATTTTTAAGGCTAGAATATATTTTCACAAATGAATAAAATGTACCCGCTTTTCTTTATTTGTAAATACCCATTTTTTGACAACTTAGAATAGATTCAAAAAATGAGTACAAATACCTCATTTAATGGGTACTTTTGTGTTAGCGTGTAAACTATCCCACAAATGGTTTGGATGATACCCCGGACACGCCGTTAATGGTTATTTTTATTAGGGTACATAAGTGAAAAAAAATGGTGGTGATTTTACTCACTGGTTCGAGTTAAACACGCTATTTGTGGGGGCGACCCCGGCGTAGTGGTTAACATCCATACCTCTCACGCCAAAGTCACGAGTTCAAATCTCACCCCCGGACAAGTCACGAATGACCCAAGAGTGTTAAAGTGACTATAATAAAAAAAAAAAAAAAAAAAAAAAAACGCTATTTGTGGGCTACTCAGTGCCTGGGTAGATCGCACTCATTTTTGCATGCTGTATGGAGTTGTAAAAAAATGAGTAAACTGGTTTTACTCCGATGAATGGTATCTACCCAGATTCTGGGTAAATGGTTCTGATATCAATTTTTCCAAAGTTTAAAATGCCCTAGATGGCGAAAGCTCTAAGAAATAGCTCGTTGGTATCAATAAATACAGAATTATAATTTTCACAATATTTTTTAAATATTCTTCCTGGAATAAACAATTTATATATAAAGCATTCATGGGGCATTCATTCGTTTCTACCGATATGGTTAAGGTTTACTCAGATGACAAATGTCATATTCTGAGTAACCGTTACCCAGTTTCCTCCATAGGCACGTTTACTCAAATTTGAGTTAAATCATGTTTACTCACTTTTGGGTAACTTCCCTTTTGGCTGGACCAAGGGCTGGACTGAGTGATTTTCGACTCAAAAATGAGTAGCCAGCCTACACCGAAAATAGTTTTCATGTAGCTTCCATTGGAAACGCACATGATTTTCATCCAAAATCAAAATTAATGGAATTCATCTGAATTTCACATAACATTTATGCGATCACATTAATTTTATATGATTTTTCATATGAATTTCATTGACCTCATAATATTCATGTGATTTTGTGGTGAGATTTGCTGCTATGTGATCATAGGAAAGCTATGTGAATATCACATAGATTTCATCCATTAGATATGTGATAAATTTTTTGAGTGTACAAATAGCGTGTAATAAAATTTGCATATATATATATCAAAAGAATTAATTATTTCCTTTTCTTATATTTTCAAAGAAATTAAAACGCCTTGATGCATTAAGAAGTTTTTCTATTCTTTTTATATACGCGAAAGAAGATTCCAGGAGTGACTATAATAAACAAAAATAGTCAATCTAATACATGGCATACTTTTCTGGGGAATGGTTTTCTGGGGAATGGTTCATTTTGGGGAATGCTTTTCTGGGGAATGGTGCATTCTGGGGACTGGTTTTCGGGGGATGGTTTTCTGGGGATGGTTTTCTGGGGAATGTTATAGAACCAAAATATATACTCATTTTAAGTAACTTTCACGCAACTAGGTGCTTCCGTGTGGCTAGCCAAAATTGAGTTAACTGGAGATACTCAAATTTGAGTGATTTAGATCTGGGCTTCAATGGGCGAAAACAACCTACTCGATTATCGAACGAAGTTGGTGAAATTTACTCAACGTCGGGAGGAGTACGAAACAAAAACCGGTCCTGTTTGGGCCACAAAATCGTTCCCGTCTGGACCGGGCGAAATCCGTCTCGTCTGGATGTTCAGCCGAGTAGCAGTGTTATCTGTCGAGTATTTTCGGACTATTCAATCCATATAGAGAGCTCTTTGATTAGAACCTGTACGGATCGATACAACATAGTAAATTTGGGAGTATTCACATTACAGAATGAATAAAAAAACTAACCTTCAATCTATAAAGCATCCAGCCACTTTTCCAATCATTAACATGGACGAAAAATCACTTTAACTGTAGGTGAACGACTAAGGCTGTGAACCATTTGCCGAGTTAAATTTAACTCGTGGTTAAAAGTGACATTTCGAAAGTTATTTTCTATGTTCGAAAATCCCCGTGCTGTCGATCGACCGGTTTTCGAGCCACGGTTGTCAAACTTTAACTTCTTGTCTGTCAGAAATAACCATGCTCGGATAGCAGGGTTAATCGATAACTTTTCATCTGTCAAATTTTAACCAAAAGTTAAAATAATCCACCAAATGGTTCAGAGCCTAAGGCAATCGCAAACCAATGAACTGCCAGCAACGACTGTAGCACCTATAATCGAAGTGATGTTACAATTTTCATCCAATAATAAGTTAAAAGTACTCAACGATTCATCCTACTGTGAGAACATGCCGGTTGAGTTATTTAAATTCAATTTTGAGTTTATTTTCACTTAAATTCACAGTGCAATTGATTTGAAAGAAATATTTTGAAAAATATTTTAGACGATTTTTTAACAATTATTTGATGGTGTACTTTTAAAAAACATGCATAAAATAATAATTATAAGCACATTAAAAATCAATGCAATCAAATAAATAATGTTTATTGAATTGAATTTCATCAGAAAAATAACTCAAATTGGAGTTTATCTGATATTTCTCACTAGTTGAGTAAATTTTAACCAGAACATTTTTGAGAATTACTCAACGGTGGAACTCAAGTGGTAGAACCCAGTGTTGAGTAATTTTTTACTCAATTTTGGGCACTTTTTTCTTACCGTGTTGTTTTGAAATAGCGTGCACGGATGAATTTGAGTTCACTCACTCGACAAAAAGTGACACAACAGCGGGGCCCTGTTTACTAAAAATGAACACATGAATAATACACACGTAACATTTGAAACGGGTCTATCAACTTATGTACACAAAACTTGTTAAGCCTTTTTCGCGTGAACCGAATACGCTCACGCAAACTAACAACACCATCGGGCAGAGGAAATTCTCCCCTTCCCAATGGTACTCTTGGTTTGCGTGGGGGTACTTCGGTTCTCGTGCAAATTATTTACAAAAGTTGATAGGCCCTTTTCAAATGTTACGCGAGCATTATTCATGTGTTCATTTTTAGTAAACAGGGCCCCGCTGCTGTGTCAAAAAAATTTCAGTAGGTGAACTAAAACGCTGTCCAGACTGGAGAGTTATAACATAGAGGTAACTCCGAGGGTAACTCTAAGACTAGTAGGTCCCGAAATAACGTGCTCAACTTTTTGGTTTAGCTCTGGTACTATCTTCGGTCCCAAGCTAATCGATTCACCCCTCGAAACATAGGAAAATCCAATAACCCCTCATTTTATCTGTCAAACTTTCATAGTGAATCAAAACAAACATTGTGTTGTACTAGAATTTCGACTAGAATGGGGTACGTTAATCGTTTGCTTGGGACCAATAGGCTATTCAAGTAGTGAGCCAATTTAAAATCGTTAGTTTCGTATTGATTGTTGGTTATAACATGTTATAACGGTTGTCAAATAATTGCAACATAGAAACCACCATCAAGATAGTGCTATAACATGTTATAACTCTGTAGTCTGAACTAGAGTCGGTGTATAATGAGTCACGCCAAGAGTGAAGCCAAGTCTACCTATTGAACTGTCAAACCGGCTACCTATCGTGCAAAGTAAACAAGCATTACGATGCTATGAAAGGTCCACGAAAGGTATTGCAATTAAATATAAAATATAATCGAAGAAATGATCATAAACACGCCGGGAGCATTACATTTGTCATGCGATACGTTTTGTAATTGTCAGTAATGAGAATTTCTACTATTTTTCGTTAAGATAAATTGACAAAATCACTTATTTAATGATGTACTACAGACTTTAGTTTTTTTTCTTCGCTAGAAGTCATTTGAAGTTGATGCAGAAGTCCTCTGTTGCCAAGTGAAAAGAAAGGGAATCTTTCGAAAACCGTGATGCGAGTTCAACTGTTTTTCTCTTGGCGTGACTCATTATACACCGACTCTAGTCTGAACGTACTATAAAGTTCACCCCTGCACAGGTCAATGTACACGGTTAGAAAAAAGTACCAAAAATTAAGTTATTTTCACTCATCTCGACACTATACACAGAAAAACAAAACTACCCACCGCTTGGGTTTTTTAAACTCAAATTTGAGTTATTTGACCTCTGCCCGTTTCATTTCCTCTCTCTATTGTTGTCAAAAATAGAACGAAAGATTCGACTCAACCGTCTAGTTCCGTACAAGAAGCCAAAATTGAGTAATATGCGATATACCCAAATTTTAGTTAATTGAACTTAATTTTGGGTAGAAAAAATTGAAAATAACTTAGCGATGGGTAATTTTTTTTGCCGTGCTCAAATGCAAACTACTTTGAGCCGGTTTACCCAAATTTGGCTTATCGTACGGAACATGGGAGATGAGTGAAAAGAACTTAATTTTGGGTTGTTTTGAATTTCTGTGTAGTCCAGGAACCCAAAAGTAGGTAAAGCGGGTCAAAGTAATTTTCATTTACGTGTGTGCAGTTCGTATGGAATTTTCCACTAGGTTTTTAACCAAAAGTAAGTTAGTTGTACCCAACAGTAGGTAAATATTATTATACCCAACGTTGGGTTCCCACACTTTACTACCCTTGTTGGGTGGTTTTGCTACTTCTTTTTTGACAACATTAGAAGGAGAAAATGAGACAAACTAGTCAAGAGTAGGTAAAAGTGAATTGGCCTTGGGTTTCTTTTTTCTTACCGTGTAATATTACGTATTATTAACAAGTGCACGGCAAATGAGAACAACCCAAATTTGAGTTTAGTTCACTCATAATCGCCAAAAGGACAGGAACTCAGCGATGAGTAAAATTTGTCTCATGTTTTCCCAGGATTTTTCCAGGAAAAATTCCCGAATTTAAGCAAAGTAAAGATTGGATTCACTCAGTCTATTGGTACTGCTCCGAGACTGAATAAAATTTTCGTTAATTTCCTCATTTTCCGGCAGATTTTTTTAGGTTTTCCACAGGAAACCATGAGACAAATTTACTCATCGCTGAGTTCCTGCACTTTTGGCGATTATGAGTGAACTAAACTCAAATTTGGGTCGTTCTCATTCGCTGTGTAAGTAAAAGTGACTCAAACGCTGAGTTAATCTGGCTGGCCGTAAAGAGTGACAGTGAGTCAACTTGATTCAGTCTCTGAGTTACTTTCGTCCGGTGTACAACGTTGTTCTGGGGAATGCTAACAAAATTTTAAATACGTCTTTTAAAAAAAGCTTAATCCTTTTTTAATACAAAATTACATCAAAGATTAGTCTCAAAACTTGTCGGAAACAGTTTCTATAAAGTGACAAAACAGTTGACCATGGAGAGCGAAGTTAAGGAAGAACCACCATTTGAAATTGTCTTCCAAGATGTAGAAGAACCAGATATGTGAGCATTTTCCTTTATTTACAGTTGTAAACGGTATGATGAATATGAATTTTGCTAAATTTCAGCAACAGTTTTGGTGCTGGAACAAGCCGTCACAGGAAGCGGCAACTTCCACAAAACGTGGATGCCTCATTCCGTCTTCCGGATGTAACGAGCAGCTCTATCGAGGCAATGCATTTCATGCTGCGGCAGTGGGGTTTGGAAGCCCTGGAAGAGAGATTTGACGAACATCTGATTGACATCAATGTGTTGGATTACATCTTGGACGTCGACATTGTTGAGTTGTGCCGGAATTTACCGATCCGCTACAGGCTGGTGCTGCGCCGTAATATTCAGAATAAGGTGAAAGTTTAGCCATTTTATGTTGTCTTTACACTAACCAAGCTTACTATGATTACACTAGTACTATAAGCGGAATATTGTTGCTGCCAGTCAGTCCAAATCGAAGGCAAAGCGTTCCAGGCAAACAATTATTACGTTTACCAAAGATCCTACTGAAACGCCATTGGATTCTTCTGAAAAGGGAAACACACAAGCACAAAATTCTTTTGAAGATACACCACCAACCCATTTTGTATCAGTTGACTCAGCGCAGCTGGATGATCACGACTCTGACGGAACTGAGTCAGGACAGGAAGATGAGGTACGTATCGAATTATTCTAAGTAAGTATCGATGTGGGTTGTAGAATTATTGCATTTTATATGTTAAGGTACGTGGTAATTAGAATATCTTTGATTTCTGTGATTTTGTTTAAGCATTGCATAAAAATGTACAAGTTTATTGTATATGGGGTTTATTTACAGTAGTGGCATTACTGGTAACATTACGTACATGGCTTGGTACTTGAGATTCTGCCATAACTGATGCTACACACAAGGCCGCTGAGGCTAACTCAGTGCACTGAAAACGAATCTTACTCCGAGAGTGAGTCACTTTAATGAATACGAATGAGTAAAAGTGACTCACTCTCTGAGTTAGTTTCTTTGTCAGTGTGAGCTACCCATTAGGGTAAGGTGGTGCAAGATGGTTCATCTGCTTGATTTATTTATATCCAGAACAACATGTGAAAAGGGCATACAAGCTTTTTGTAAACAAACCTTCTTATGCCCTTTTCTCGCCACCCATATGACACCAACGCAAACCTTTAACACCACCGGGTAGGGGACACTTTCCCCTTCCCGATGATATTGCTGGTTTGCGTGGGCGACTCTCGGTTGGTGAGAAAAAGGCCTACAAAGGTTTGTTTACAAAAAGCTTGTATGCCCTTTTCACATGTTGTTCTGGATATTGTTGTTTATATTGTCAACATCAACACTCAATCAAGAGCAAATTTTCATTATGTCGTAAGTAACATTCGCACCAATCCGAGAAAAATAAAGTTTTGTTTTGATGACCGAAAAGTTATTCCTATTTCCAATTAAACACATATAATCTCATAGTGATAGCATTAGCAGGGTTTTAATCATACAAATGCAAATCGCTAGCTTTCATGCTAAAAAATACTGGTTTTTGCGTCAAAAGTTATTATACGTCGTTTGGTGGCCCCTATTGTTACTTAAGTCAAAGTGTATTTACCAGGATATTCGGGAGGATTATCAATTACGTCTCCTTACGTGCAGCCCATTCATCATTTTAGGACCACCAAAATCATCTTAGCAACAAACAGTTCGATTTATTCACTTTAATAATGAGAAAGTGAAACGACGAACGTACACTTTTCACGGGTTGCTCCGCGCTGTTACTTAAGGCAAACGGCATCTCCAAAGAAATCGGGTGACTTAAGTAACATCGAATACTATTTTGATCGGAAGGTGATTGCGTCAAAAAGCAATTTGACTGGTAAATAAATTTAAAAATGGGATGTGATCCTATATTCGGACAGTATATAGTATAATAGTGGGAGCATCTAGAGTCGGTGTATAATGAGTCACGCCAAGAGAAAAACAGTTGAACTCGCATCACGGTTTTCGAAAGATTCCCATTCTTTTCACTTGGCAACAGAGGACTTCTACAACAACTTCAAATGACTTCTAGCGAGAGAAAAAACATGCGGCTGTAGTAAATCATTATATCAGTGATTTTGTCAAATTATCTTAACAAAAAATAGTAGAAATTCTCATTACTGATCATTACCGAACGTATCCCATGACAATTTAAAGCTCACTGCGTGTTTATGCTCATTTCTTCGATTATATTTTATATTTTATTGCAATACCTTTCGTGGACCTTTCATAGCATCGTAATGTTTATTTACTTTGCCCGATAGGTAGCCGGTTTGACGGTTCGATAGGTAGACTTGGCTTCACTCTTGGCGTGACTCATTATACACCGACTCTAGGAGCATCGATTGACACTGATACCTCGACTTTGTTTACCTTTGTTACTTTCGACGTAATGAAAATTTGCTCTTGCAATGTAGTCCCATAGTTGGTTTGAAAAAGTAAACCATCGTTGTACAGTAAGAATAAAGTACCCAAGGCCAGTTCACTTTTACCTACTTTTGACTAGTTTGTCTCCTTTTCTTCTTCTAATGTTGTTAAGAGCAAAACCACCAAACAGAGGTAGTAAAGTGTGGGAACCAAACGTTGAGTGTAATCATATTTACCTGCTTTTGTGTACAACTAAGGGGCTGTCCATAAACTACGTAGACAGTTTAGGGGGGGTGTTGACAATTATCCACGACCCATACAAATTTTAATTTTTTTGTATGGACAATTGTCTACGCAGGGGGAGGGGAGGGGGTCAATAATCGCAAAACTGTCTACGTAGTTTATGAACAGGCCCTAACTTACTTTTAGGTAGAAAGCTAGTGGAAAATTCCATAAGAATTGCACAGAAGTAAATGAAAACTACTATGATCCGCTTTACCTACTTTTGAGTTCCTGCACTTTAGTGCCGAGATGGGTGAAAAGACCTTACTTGTGGGTACTTTTTTTTCTTACCGTGTGCGTTTTCATAGAACCTGTTGATATTATCGTTTCAGTTGAAAACCGGAAAATCCCACACGCGCCAATTGAATTTACTCTCGTTCTGTACGTTAAACATATCGTCGGACATAGTGCGCTGTATTTGCACAATGATGCGCTATTCAGCGCACTATGTCCGACGTTATGTTTAACGTATAGAACGAGGGTAAAATCGAATGTCGCGTGTGGGGTTTCCGGTGTCCAACTTGAACGACAATATTGACAAACCAATAAATTATTAAATCTTTATCAACATTTTAAAACGGCGAAACTGCTAATTTGTAAACAATGACTTTATCCGAAGATTTCTCGCGAATAAAAGCTCGCACTAGAAAATTAACTCAGATAGCCAAGTCAGTATAGGCATGGTATTACCGGCGGTGGGTTCGATTCTCGGTCGGTCTAGAACATCTATCGGTATGGAAATGTTCCCGACTTCCTTGGGCATAGTCATAGTTTACAAATGAAGTTTCACCCTAAGGAAATGTAGGCATCGAAATGTACTAGCTGACCCATCTTGCCCCAACTTACCCTGTTGAGTAACTCCGAGTTTAATCAAATACCCGTACAACTGTGTAAATGTTAGTCTCAGCGGTCGTGTATAATAATGGTATGCCAGCTTCAGCAAGCTGCTTTCTACAACATGATATGTAGTACAGGGTCTCCTCATGCTTTGCAACATGCAATTTTTGTTTGCTTTCTATAAAATAGATAAAACGAAAAATTCAATTTGTGATTTTACCACACGGTTGCTGCAATTATAATGGAGCTGTGTTGCCAAAAATGGAAGGCACTGTGTACCGTAATTCGCCGAAATCCGGACATTTAGTCCATAAAGTCGCAGACTCTTAAAAGCTAATCCAGTGCCGACATTTCATTAGGGCGAAACTGCTTTTGTAAACAATGATTTCAATCGCCGATTTCTCGCAAATAAAAGCTCACTACTGCAAATTAACGATGCCAGCTGATGGTGTCGTTAATTTGTACGTGTGAGCTTCCTACGCGAGCAACGACTAAAACCATTGTTTATTAAGGCAATTTCGTCCACTTGAAATGTGGGCGCAGAATTATTACATGATCTAAATGCCATGCAAATTGAATGATGATCCTATAGTGTGTGTTCATAAATGTTAGGATTAAAAAAATCGTCGGTATTCATATTCATCTATTGCTTGGTTGTCGTCCGATGCTTGTAAATGTCTTGAACAATTTCGTAACAAGGTTACTTGCCCTTCTAGACACGTAAACTTCACGAAACGATTGGTTATCAGGACGCAAGCATTACAAATTATGGGTTGAAATCTAACGGCTACTCATCGGGAGATGACAATTTAGTCGGAAATAATGAGTTTGATCGCCGGCGTTCGTCTCTAGTGGATGTGATGAGTGAGAAAGTGATTGAATTGGAAAGCCAGTGTGCAAATTACAATAAAGGTTGGACAATGATGCATGATGGGGACATGATGTCGCAATATCTGCCACCAAGCTTGCTCGATGTGTCATCAGGTTTCACCGAATGTGAGGGATACATTCCAGCGTTTCGGTTGAGACAATTTTCTGACGTGTCATCAAGTGATTACATTTTTGTCAAATCAATGATGGAAGATTTGTGGCCTGAAGGATTCGCCGGACGCTCCGTTACGGGACGTGCGTCAAATAATGCATCCGGGCGCAGTGGCAAAGCAGCTGTCCCTGTAACGCCAACGGAAGCATCCTCACTCCCACCAAAGATCCCATTGGAGGCGCATAAAGTTGAGTATATTCATGGTAAGTTATTTCATTGCAAATAAATATCGGGGAGTAAGCAAACTTTTCTAAATTTCGTAGATCGATTACTGGAGAGACGAATCCTTTTGGGTGACGACAGGATCAAAGCCCTTCATGAAAGCAAGCAAGCAAACAAGCTTATGGCTCGGGTTATAGTCAATTACAATAATAAGTCGAGGTAGTAAGTTGTGTATAGTTTTAGCTGCCTTACGTTAATAAAACTGGAGTTTCTCTTTGAAATCAATCATGCCTACTTGTTCTTACTATGTTATAAAATGTTGCGCCAGAGAAAGAAGTGCCATACCTTTCGATTCTATAGTTTTTTCGTCTTTCGACTTACAAAAGCATCCTTGCGTCTGGAAAGGTAACTATTGTAGGTATTGTAAACACAACACTAGGACTGCTTTCAAGCCCAAAAACCTGAAGTTATCCACCTCTACCGTGTGACAACAATGTGACGTACACACCATAATCAAAATTGTGCAGGGAATGCTTTTTTTTGTTCAGGCATTATTACAAAACTAACTTTTCATAGCAATTTGATTTCAATCGATAGTTATAATCCTATTTGATATTTTTTTAGATTATTTTTTCACGGGCGTGACTTTGTAGCAAACATTTGGAACTTTGCAGCAAACTTCTCTGTGATGAATAATGGTTCAGTTTCAAGTTTTTTGCGTCAATAGGTGCTGTTTGATGTACTGAATACGAAAATGCAAAAAAATGAAAATTTATACGTCGTATACTTCCCTTAGTTGTCCACAGAAGACTTAAGGTTTGACCTTTTGTGCAAGTATAAAATTTATGTATTTAGGTATGTACATTTTTTAACTGAAACGAAACACGCACAAGAAACTATATTGGAAGATCGATGAGGAGACAGACACTTCACTTGGGAAAATCGTAAATCATCTTCATATATTAACGGCTAACGTATAAGAATCGTTTTTCGCATGAACGCTTGTTTCGACTCGGTTACACAAAAGAGCAATTCCTTACGAATTCGCAAATTGGTTAATTTTTGTATTATTTAATTTGGTTGAAAATTTGCAGAAACATTCCTTATGAGCGACTATGCCATTTTGCATCTTCATATCGCCAATTTGAATCCAGTCTTATTTTTGAAAAGGGCCTATAGAAAAATATCAAGCTTATCTTCAGAAAACTTTTACTCGACAACTGGACGTCATATTTGAATCTCCCATACATGAAACAAGTTCAAGGTCCAGGTTTCGTGAAATTTTTCTAAATTCTGAAACATAGATAAACTTTTGACACCCACTACTTTGAAATCGGGCTACATCTTGCGTATGAACAAATTTTGAGTACACCAAATATTTAATGTAATAGGAATATTTCTTCAAGCAAACATTTGTAATCCGCGTTTTTTTTTTTAATTTCAGTCCATCCGCTCAATTCTAGTCAAGGATCCCAGATTTCGACCGGTTCTGGCACTCTTGGACCAGGAGCTGGTTCCTGATTCCGCCGGGTTGTGTCATATGAATCGCCTTCTGACGAAGCATTTCTTCGAGGAAAGAATTATGATTGAGAAGAGGTATGTCACGAGTAGTATTGTAGTTCCATTTTATTTTAATTTCCTTGACCATTATTTGTTATGTTTTTCTAGGTACCCAAAAAAGCAAGAAAAACATGATTTGGCACTTAAAATACTCGAAGCCTTCCCCCACCTCGAGAGAACTCGTGTTAATTCGGATGCACCAAAAGAGGTATGTATTTATCTAACTTTGCTTTTCTGCAATAGGGTTCGTTAGGTGTATTAAGATATTTGCATATTCGTAATCCTCATTAAAAATGGAAGCGACATACAAAATCTCATCAATTTTCGTGCACGGGAACTACAGGGTGATTCGGAATGACTGTCTTTTTAAAAATGGTCATAACGATTGAATGCTTGCATGATTTTTTTGATATCAGTATATTCCAGATTTACTACATTTACTTCAAATTAGCACACTTTAATTCAAATCTCTCTCCCTTTACCGTTAAGTACCAGTCACATTTGTCACGAAATTGAACCACGGACGTTTTAGTTCCAGCATTTTTGGCGTCCTGGAGTTGCGTCTAAACTCTGATATTGAACGGATTTTCTACGCAAGGTTCCTTATTACCTCTATAATGATGCGAAAAATAAATGTTTCATTCTTTCGAAGAGATTTCAGTTCCTAAAAGATAACACATGAATTTATACAGATTTATGACATGCTCCATTTTCACGTCCATGACTGTTTGAAATCGAAAACGAATGAAATTTCAAATCCTTCTATCAATACAAGCTGATGTTTGTACACACTTTAAAACAAAAATAAAGGGTGATACGGTCAAAATTTGGTCAATATCAACTTGACGTATTTCTTTCAATTTTGCATTTAAAAAACCTGAACACCCCTCATTTTAAAGGTGTGTGTGTGTAGAATGTTGCTCCTATTTTGATTTTGGAATTCACTCTTCAGTTGTCAAAATACCGTCCAAGCAAGAAGAGCGGCGTATCAAAATTTTGCTCGCGCATCGCGAAAACCCGAGCTACTCGCACGCAAAGTTGGCAAAATCGCTAAAAGTTGCCAAATCAACCGTTACAAATGTAATTAAAGTGTTTGGGGAACGTTTGTCGACAGCCAGGAAGTCTGGATCGGGGGGAAATCGAAAACCGGAAGCCGCTGAGACGACAAAGAGAGTTGCCGGTAGTTTCAAGCGAAACCCTAACCTCTCTCTCCGAGATGCCGCAAATAAGCTGGGTGTATCGTCTACAACCGTGCATCGAGCCAAAAAACGAGCCGGACTATCGACTTACAAGAAGGTAGTGACTCCAAATCGCGATGATAAACAAAATACGACGGCCAAAGCGCGATCCCGGAGGCTGTACACGACGATGCTGACGAAGTTTGACTGCGTGGTAATGGACGACGAAACCTACGTCAAAGCCGACTACAAGCAGCTTCCGGGACAGGAGTTTTATACGGCAAAAGGAAGGGGAAAGGTAGCAGATGTTTTCAAGCACATGAAACTGTCAAAGTTCGCAAAGAAATATCTGGTTTGGCAAGCCATCTGTACCTGTGGCTTGAAAAGCAGCATTTTCATAGCTTCCGAGACTGTCAACCAAGAAAGTTTACGTGAAAGAGTGTTTGAATAAACGTCTGCTGCCTTTCCTGAAGAAACACGGTTGTTCCGTACTGTTTTGGCCGGATTTGGCATCTTGCCAATACGGTAAAAAGGCCATGGAGTGGTACGCCGCCAACAACGTGCAGGTGGTTCCCAAGGACAAGAACCCTCCCAACACGCCAGAGCTCCGCCCAATTGAGAAATACTGAGCTATTGTCAAGCGGAACCTAAAGAAGACCAAAAAAACTGGGCGAGCAGCAGTTCAAGGCAAACTGGCTTTCTGCGGCGAAGAAGGTGGACAAGGTGGCTGTACAAAATCTGATGGCAGGGGTCAAGCGTAAGGCCCGGCAATTCGGATTTGGAAAAGCGGAAGCCTAACTGAATATTTTTCCTGAATTTTATACTAATTGAACTTGAAAAAGAAATTTAATTTGATTTTTTAAATAAACGATTTCACCGATTTACACGCGTTTTCCCTTGACCAAATTTTGACCGTATCACCCTTTACTTGCACATATATCCATCCATTAAATTTGTCGAACCTCTTAACGGAATCCCTTTATGAAGAGCTTTGAGTGGGTTGGTTTATTTCCTTTAAATTCCGTTATAATTGCTTATCTTTCATCATCAGTGCCAAGTAGTGTGCCAAGTGGTGTTGAGTACTTGGCTGGCACTGATGAAGTCTGCAAGTAGTAGACGAAATACGCGTATCTGTCAAAAGATAAGCAATTATAACGGAATTTAAAGGAAATAAACCAACCCACTCAAAGCTCTTCACATATATCCATTTTACCCATAGCATATTTGTGAAATCAGTGACAGTTATTATGAATCATCCTGTATTTTAAACAAGTACTATTAGGCAAAACTGACTGGCTTTGAGCCCCTTGGCGGTACTTAAGTACATGGCCAATAGACTGATGCAAAATTTGAAATTTTCGCTCCACAGTGCTCAAACGGTTCCAAGTTGGGCCCTGATTAGCCTCCCAAAATTTGAACTCATTTAGTGAGAAACTGACTTGGCACAAACCGTTTGAAGTTTATATGGGAATTACTATGGAGAAACCATAATTTCGGTTCATATCGATCTCAAAATTCACCAGTTCACTCTACTTTAAAAATGATAGCTGAGCTTGTTGAAAATTTTCTCAGCTACAACCTTGTTGAAGACCACTTTTTGATAAAATGTAAGGAACAAATATTATTAATGATTCAAGTCACTGATATGATTATGCTCAATCATCCATTCAGCAGGCAACATTGGTGTTTATGGCGCGTAGAATAGAGGATAGAAATCATGGCTACTATGTCGCACTGCAGAATACAGTGTTGCCCACAATACAGTTGCTAATCTTGCAATAAGATTATCAATCTCTTAAATAAGTAATAATTATTTAATTGGACGTTTGGCTGAAAAACGATTTTCTGCAAAGTTGTTGCTGATAAAAATTTCCATGAGAATAGCAATAGAATTTGTTGACAGTACAATATGTAAAAAGGTTAGAAGACAATGAACAAAAACTTTTGTTTTCCCATAGTAATTTCCATATAAACTTCAAATGGTTTGTGCCAAGTCAGTTTCTTATCAAATGAGTTTAAACTTTCGGAGGCTAATCAATCAGGACCCGATTTGAAACCGTTTGAACATTGTGGAGCGAAAATTTCAAATTTTCCATCAGTCTAATGGCCAATGAGAAAAATTCAGACCGAGAGTCACTTCTACTCAGTTGTATGGGAAATTTATAATCTTTGGACTCTGCTGTAAGCAAACTTGAACATGTTCGTATGAAATCAATAAAATAGTTGATAATAGTCAGGATTATAGTATGTTGTGTATATCCGGTAGCGGCACCTTTGTGGTGTGTAATGAGAAATATACGAACGACCAAGATTGATTGTAGAAAATGTTCATCATATACCGTGACCTGCTCTATTACCGTCGCACTGCTTCACTGGCACTTGAAGCATCCCTATATTACAAAACGTTGCCCAGAGCCTTGCTCAATTGGTTCAGAATTTAAAACATCACACCAAAATATATTGTTTTCTTGTTGTTTTACATCAACAGGCTGGATGAACCCCCTATGATGTTAACCTTATCAACTTTATTTAAAAAAATACATTCAAGCATTGTCACAACATAAAAAAAAAACATATATCTTATAGTCAGTTACTCCTGCCGGCGAAAAACAGACGAAAACATTCGACGAAGCGCATCACGGGAGAGATGAAAGTCGAAAACAGATCCAACTCTGTTGAATGTTCTCTGCAGTCCGCAAATCGCACCGTATGCTCCATAATTTGTGCGACGTAGAGGCAGTCTTAGCATAAGGTTATTACGAAGCGGTTTGGGGTTGAACATTCAGGTCAATTTGCCTCAGGATAGCCTCGCAATTTGTTCTTCCTTGCAGGATATCGGCCACGGTTAGGGCTCTGCTTGTGTCCGGAGAAGTTCTAGGTCGATAAGTTGACAACGGCTTTCGTAACTGGGTAATCGAAACGGATCATTCCAAGGCAATCTACGCAACGCAAAACTAAGAAAGCGACGTTGAACAGATTCATTTCTCTCGGCACCGTTGTTGTAGGTTGGCATCCAAACCGCTGAACAATACTCAAGCGTCGATCGAACAAGCGGACAATAGAGAGATTTTAGACAGTAGATAGGGGAAATGTCTCTAATCTTGGCCTATGGATCTAAGATTGGGCCCATCGCTAAAAATCTGCTATCTGCTTATCAATTTTATCTAGATGAACGCGTTATTGGGACGCAGTCCGCTTTGAGAAGCGTCCGAGAACGGTTGTGTGTTTTTGCTCCGCTGTGTGTTTTTTTTTTTAGAGCTCGGGCTATCTTTGTGCTGCCGTGTAGTTTTTAGGTGCACACATTTGAATAGTTTTGTGTCCCGGACGCGATAATTCGATTTAGAATGATTTGTGCTGATGTTTTCCCCCTGTTGCTTATGTGCCTGGTGTGCTCTCGCTCTCTTTGTGTGACTCGACCGCGCTGATCTATTATTAGATTTTTGCGGTGTGCATTGCTTTTGTGCACAGAGTGACATGAAGAAGAAAAGTGATATTTAGTTATTGTGTGGTTGGATTCGCTGGAGGAGCAATTGTTTAAAAATGATTAGAGAAAATTAAGCATCGGGAATGCGCTCCCGCATATATTGATTTGGTGAGTACGTTCCAGTTGAAGATTGTTCTCTCTAAATAACCCTTTTTTGAATACATTTCATTAATCAGCATTATTATATGCTGGGTTTGGGGGGGCAGCCTAAGGGTTTCAAAATATTTGTAGACTGGACAAGGGTTCGTGGATTTGCCAGTCCCTTGTCACGTGTTGATAGACGTACATCTTGTCGTTTGTCTTCCAAAGGTCTTCATTGAAGTTGATTCACCCTGCTGCAACAAACCATCAGGCAGAACTTTACAACCAGTGAAGTATCTGCAGTCATAGGTAATCCTTGCACTGATGGTGGGTTCTATTCACATCACATTCACATCACATGAACGCGTTATTGGGACGTTAATAATGAATATTTTTGGTTGCTATTGAAAATTTAGTCGTTTGCTGAATTTATGTATGGGCCCAAATTAGGGCACTTAGGCCGACATTACCTGCATTTCCCCTATTAGTGAAGTTTTTAGCTATCCTAAAAATGAACCCTAAAGGCGTCAATTATCAACAACATATGCAATGTGTTGCTCGAATGAAAGCTGCGAATCCAAGATCACACCCAAGTCTTTCACCTGATTCACGCGTTCGATTGTCGAGCCAAGCAGGTCATATAACTAAATAATATCGTTTGTTGTTTTCGTGAGAACGTCATTTGGCTGGGTTCACTACCATTCTGTTTAAACTGCACCAACTAGCGAATTCATTCAGCTGACGTTGAAGAAAGTGCCAGTCAGCAATGGAGCAGATTCGTAGGAAGACTTTGAGGTCATCGGCATATGATAACCGAGGAGCTTCGATGACCAGATGCACGTCGTTGAAGTACAGTATAAAAATTAACGGTCCCATGTGGCTTCCCTGAGGTATACCTGATGTGGCGAAGAAGCTAACTGATCTGCAATCTCCTATGGCAACCTTTAGTTGCCGACCGGTAAGATATGATCGAAACCAACTCAGAAGATTACCGCATACACCGAGCCTGCCGAGTTTAGCAATCGCAATAGCATGGTTCAACTTGTCGAATGCTGTGGATAGGTCTGAATAAAGAACGTCCGTTTGAACCCGATCCGACATGCTTTCGGTTATATACGATGTGAGACACAGCAGGATTGCTGGTTGTAGAGCGGCGGACAGTAAACCCATGTTGATCAGCACTAAAATACTGCTTGCAATGGGACAGCAACGGTTCCATAATCACTAGCTCGAATAGCTTCGAAGTGGCTCTTAACGATGTAATTCCTCGATAGTTATCCATAGCTCGTTTCCTTCCTTTTTTGTGGACGGGAAACATGTGCGCAAATTTCCAGCAAGATGGAAATATGCCACTGAAGAGAGACATTCGGAACAGGGGAAGAAGCGGAATTATCAAGCTAGCAATATGTCTCTTCAAAAATACAGATGGAACTTCATCAGGTCCAGGATTGAAGGATGACTTAAGCACAGTCCCGGCCTTAGAAATCATCTCAGCATTAACATCAATTGCACCCATCGTTTATAATTTACTGGAACGTTCCTGACAGCCAGGTCGATGTGGTCGTCAGTTAGTATCTCATTAGTGAATACACTGGCAAACTTATCGAAAAAAAGGCGGCATATATCCTGAACGGTGGCAGCAACTTCTCCGTTGAATTCCATAGACGATGGGGGGCCGGATTCCCTGCGTTGCTCGTTCACGTAGTTCCAAAAGGATTTCGGGTGTAGCTTAAGTTTGCGCTGGATGCCTCGTTGGAAACTTGAAAAGCATTCACGACTGACTCGCTGGTACATGTGATTCAGCCTCACGTAATGTAGTTTCAGAGGAAGCGCGCGATACTTCGTAAATCTTCTCAATGCTGCTCTCTTGATTGACTTCAGCTCTCTCGTCTGCCAGGGAGGGTGAGACACTTTGTGGTGAGTTCTTTTCGGGACGTGTCTGTCAATGACATATGCCAAGACATGTGAAAAGGTTTGCGCTGCAGCCTCAACGTCATCTGGATCAAGGATGTTCTCTCATACCATGCTAGACAATACATCTAATGATGCTACGGTGGTAAGCTTTACGGAAGTCATAAGAAACCGTAGCAGGATAATCGTCGAAATCACGCACGAGTTTGTCCTCAACAGTGACAATTAGAGGAGGGTGATGTGGAACTAGCTTAGTTAGTGCACAAGGAGCCGAGGTTCCAGCACAATGAATTGCTGAACTGAACATTTCACCGACCATCCAGCCATATGAAATATTTTGCTGGATACTCAGTAAATTGTATTCAATCTGTGAAATGAAACGTCAGTACTAGAAAATTCTATTTCTCCCGGCGTACAACTTTGAATATAGAGCAGTTTCAGACAAAATAGCAAAAAAGAGGGGAATTTTGGATCGACCTTCTCCGATTTGTATGAAACTTTGCTTAATTGTTTGTTGTGGGCACTTTTTTTGCTAAAATTCGGCCATGTGCCAAAAAAGCAAACAACCGTCTATCCCTCATGTTTCTCCGTAACGTGGGTAGATCACCTTTTCGTGGTACGTTACGGGATGTAAGATCTACCACCGATTCCTAGTCTTGAGTACTTCAAACTAGGGGAAAAGGATTTTTCAGTAATCCAAGGAACACATCTTAGTCCTTGTTACTTTTTATGCCTTGTTGATCGTGATAAGTCCTCGAGTTGCTTAGACCGAGGATGACCTTGAAACAAGGAAGAAAAAAAATGAGTTAGTTAGTCTTCACATATGCGATTCTTAATCTTCTATTCGTTGTTCCCTAGTTTGAAGTGGTTCTGATGCATGGTCATTACCGGTGTCATAGCTTATTTTTGTTGCTAAGGAATCCAATTTTGACTGACAAAGGTGCGCGCCTTTGGAGGGTGTTCCAACACTTCGAAGGGTAATAATAGCGGAACATTTCAATTAAAATCGATTCCTTGCGATGAAGGCAAGAATGACAACTGTATCAAAACAGAATACTTCATATACGACATGCACTAAACTAAGGACTCGGGACAATAAGGACAATAGATCAAATTACTGGTCGCAGTGGTGTTATGTCCCGAACAGAGGAAAAAAAAATCCCTCATGTTCGCACGTAAAACCGCAAACAAAATCAACACACTCGTCAATGCAAATACTGAATGATGCTGCACCCATTTTCTGTTGCATTTCACATTGGGTGGTTGAATTTCTTTGGGATATTTAGTGTATAGGCATTCGTAATCGATGTCTGTGTTAAGGATCCGGTATCGGCTCGTATGTACACAGTCGAAGCTTATGGCAAGCAAGCACATGGTAGATTTCGGCCATAAATTTTGAACAAAAATAGTTAACTGCCAAACCATCAATAATTTAACACCAAAAATTGCTGGATAAATTCTCCTTCGAATGGCATATTGTTTGAAATATTTCACATTGTTGCTTTTGAGAAATTTGCGTTTGAAATCCGACATATTTTCGTAACATGTTACCTGTCTCATTTTCGATTTCGTAAAGTTAATGTATGTTTCTTTGGACACAAAACGCGCCGAAACCTTACCCCCAGTGTAAGTAAAGACCAAGGTTACAAAGACTCATTTCAGCTAAAACAATGTTTTTCTAAATTATGAAATAATTAGATGCCATGATCAATTTTGAATTGGTAGGATACAAGAAGAGGTTGCAAAGAATGTGTTTGACATATTAAACCTGTTTATTTCACTTTATGAGAGTCACAATCAGCGATTTTTCACAAACTCACTCACTCACTCAGCGATCAGCAAATCGCTGATTGTGACTTATAGAAAGCAAAATTTACAGGTTTTATGTTTCCAACGCATACTTTGTAACCTCTTCTTGTAAGTTACAAGTAAAACATGCCATCATACCATCTTTTGGTTTTATTATTCCGAAAAACATTATTTTAGCTGAAATGAGTCTTTGCAACCTTGGTAAAGACTGGTGTATACGGACTATTAGTCCTATATATCAAAAATCCATACTGTGGGTAGAGGTTCCTGTTATGGCCGTATGCGTTCCTATTAGGAACACACTATAATAGGAACGTACAACCATATCACATTTTGTACATCCTTAACTCTGTTCATTTCTAGTCGTACTTTTTCTGGGTAACCGGTGGAAAAGGCAAAGGTCCCCACACTGGACTAATCGAAACTCGGACGTCAAACATGCGAAAGGAGGTACCTCCCGAAGAACGCCGCTACCAACGACGCAAAGAAACGGTCAACTACATTCTGTCCGATAGCATTCGCGAATGCGCGACGGAGATAGCATCGTTGGCTCCGTTGCCACAGAATGAGGAAACTATCGCAAACGGTATGGCCGAATGCATCGATCTTCACTCATGCATTCTTCAGCAAGGCGAATCTAATCCTATCGAAACTTTACTCGGCACATTTCCGCATTTGTTGGCCTATGGCGGCAAAATGGTTTGTGTGTAATGCTGTAAATGGGGTTACAGAGAATTTCAATCGCTCAAATTCCTTTTCAGATTCTACAAGTATTCCAGCGTTTGCACACCTTTTATAATTCTTCGGCTGATTTGGACAACTTTTTGCGCGTGGGATTGCTACTAGACGCAAGCTCCTTTTGTTCGGTTGAGAACAGTAAGTAATTGATCGGCAATAATATGTGGCAAATGATTAAAATTTTGTGATTTCAGAGTACATCAAAGGCGCACTTCGAATGATGAAAAAGTTAGTTATGAACGGCAAAAAAGAAGAGGCTGATGATATGTCGTCAGATGAAGCAGAGGCCTCACCCCTTATTAGATGGTTGAAGGTACGAGTGAATAGTTCCTATAGAAAAGTTGGTTGCTAGAATTGTTTTTTTTTTATCTTTCAGCGTAAGGAAAACGAGTTGGACGTTGCAGTTGTTCAGCGTCACATATCGGAACGTTCCTATCTTGCTCCCCATATTGTTTGTATAGCGGACGTTTTCAAGGAGGGAAACTTGTTCGTAGTATTCCAGGGAAAGTTTATCCCATGCGGAAAATCCGCGACCCATGCTCTGGACGTATTTTTCAAGATGTTTGCAGTCTTTGGTATTCCGGTTCCGGTTTTGCTCAGGAAGATACACGAACTAATGATGGTGCATCTATGGAAAATCTCCAACTCTTGCAAAAGCATCACCGTGACAAGGCTCATTTCCAGATTGAAGGAAATAGACGAAGCTTCTGACGAATGTGGATATACATATGATTCAACGTAGAAATGAAAACGAAGATTGATTCGACAAAATGAGCGACTTCTTAATGAGAAAGAATTGCGTCATATTTGTATGTTTGTACCTTGCACACTTTCGATTTTTATGCAACACAGACTGATTAACTGTATCTGTCGTTTTTATCGATAAAATAAATTTAAACAAACATTTTGGTTTTTTTTTTCACATTTATTGCAATAATTTGTTTTCCTAATATTTTAATAAAAACAAGAAACAAAAATTTAAATGTGCTATGGCAAGGTGAATTATGTACAAAACAAATGCTGGGAACACTACATACTATTTTCACATAGTTATAACAAACTGCTTCGAAAACTGTTTCAAAAAACTGTGACACGTTATGAACTGTAAATGTGTAAAGACTGTAAGTACTCGGTATTTATAAAAATTGCAAGAAAACAAAAAAAAAAACACTTTATAGCCACAATATTGACTTGCACACACGATACAAAGATGACAACGGCGAGATGATTTCAGACTATCAAGGTTTTCGAATTGTTACTATACGATTGTAGTATTGTTCCCACGCGTCAGAGTCGGCTGCTTATCCCTATCGGAAGGTAATGATCGTACTACCAATACTTTTCTCGCTACAGATGTGATCCAGCGCTCGTTCAACCTCGTTCGGAGTGTAAACCTATCGGAAATCGAATGGAATCATAACTATTGCTATTTTCAAATTCCACTAATACTCACCCTATCGACAACAGTTTTGAGCGTTTCGTCATTCACGAATCCGGCCAACCGTTCCAGCACCAGATGGCAAAGGTGAGGACCACCCCAGTCGGGGTGGGTTCGGAAAATAACGGCTGCCGCCTTCCGGAATTTGACCATCAACCCTAGCAGCACCCTCATCAGCGGGCCATACTCGTCCGAGGCCAGCTCCGGTTCGACGGCGTCGACGATGATGCCGCGTTTGGTTAGGAATTTGTCCAGAAATTTGTGATCGTACGCGATCCTGGTGGTGAGGAAGATGAAGTCGAACTTTTCCCGTGGGCTTAGCTCGTTGATCAGATTCGATTTCTCCACGTTCACGTCGATGAAATTCGAGCGGAAGTGCTCGTTCGCGAAGGCGATGATGTCGGAAGCACCTGGGAAATGGCGTGTAAAATGGGTTTAATTGATATTTATTTGTAACAAGAATTAGAATCAAATACCTCTGTCCTCTGTAGTTAGTATGGAAAAAATGTAAAATTCAATTACTGATCTAATTTACGGATTGTGAATTATATTTAAATATACTTCATTATAGGTTGCAAAGCATGTTTTTTGAAAGCAAAATTATTCATCATTCAAAGTTTTAGAACTCGCAAAGGAAGTTGGCATGACATCCTGATTATATTGGAAGTTTAGCACCCTGGGCTTAGCATATGCCCCAAAGGAAGACATGCCCTCCGCTTTCAACCCGTCCTTTTTTGAGGTCTACCCCGTTTGGAGAAATGCCCTTTGGCCTAATACTTGAAGCCACTAGCTTCCACGCACTAGCTATATGCATAAATGACGAATCATTCTAGGGTAACCAGCCATGTAGAAATATACGCTACAAGGGGGAGTGGACCAAAGTTGCTGCTTCATCAAACGTAGGTACACAATATGAGTATTACATAGCGAATCGTAAAAATGTACGCCGTCGTAAATACCAGGGTCCATTTAAGCGCAGACATCATATCCAGCAGGAGCATTTGCCTTTGAGCGGCTTATAAAGAGTGGCCGTATGAGAAAACGAGAGAGTTGCCAATCTTCTTGATAGGTTGTCTTCGATTTAAGTGTAATGAAGTTTAGGCATTTACGAGAGATCACATGTTCATGTAATCTTTTATATGCTATTGTGTTTGCGAATTGTTTTTTGGAAGTGGTGCAATTTTCAACAGCTGAAACCTGTTCGATAAAATTCCGACATCTCGAGTTTAAATGTTTCAAATTGACCACTTAGTCAAGCAGTTTTGGCGTGACTTTCTCCAGCGATTTCACAAAACCGGACCATATTTTTTTTTTATGAAATGCACAAATGTTGGCTACTTTTCTCGAGGTTCTAGAAAAAATCTCAAATAATGTTTTATTTCAAAGTTCGAGTGGTAGTAAACGTCATTTTAAGTGCTCGAATAAAGTAGTTAATTATGAACACTGAATTTTGATCACTAGATTATGGTTGTTATGGCAAGGCTGAAGCATTAGGAAATCAATTTTGATACAAATAATGCTACAAAGCTGGTCATAGTTTTGAAAGTTTCGTTCAAAATTAGTTTAAGTAGGTAAAATTTTCTAAGTGTGTGTAACAATGCATATTATATTGTTTATGATGTCTACCGCCATAAATGGGTTAGCACGAAATATATAGGTTTATTTAAATTATTTTTCATAAAAAAAAAATAGTTTATCGCATGGCTTCAGCCGCCGTGAATGGATTAAAGATAATTGCCAAAGGATTTTTTCGCTAGCCTTACTTTAGGCAAAGTACTTCATGCTATTAGGGGCTTTTCATAAACCACGCAGACACGTTATTGAGGGAATTGGGCTTAGCGATTGCCTACGCTGCCGTTCTACGCATATCTGTGCCATGTTACTTTTGGACGTTTTTCACTTTTGTTAATAAAACAGTACTTTTTTAGGTAAACTTTCGAATGAAAATAGAAAAACCTGTTATTTGTTTTGGGCTTATTTAAAAACAACATCAAGTCTAATTGTCCCATGTTGAAATTCTACGCATAACTGTCCCAAAAGGAATGTTTACTGAATCTTTTATTAACGAATCGATTTGAGTGCACGAATGATTAAAACAGGATTTATATGATCAAAAGAAACTCAATGAGTCATTTCGGGAAGTAGAAGCTTTATTTTATGATGAAAAATATTAAGAGAAACGAGAATTCATATTAAAACAGCAGGTTATAGTTCAGATTTCAAACTGTGCATTATTAGAGTAATAATAATCAATTGATAAGAAGCAGTGTAATGATCTTAAAATAAACCAAAGACAAAATAACATGATTTAAAATTCAATTGTGTAGCAACGATGTATAAACATCTTCCAATATTGGCATGCTTAAAAAAGTACGTATTATTGTCTAAAACAACTCGAAGCAACGCAGTTAACAATGATGGCACTTTCTGTCACATGATGTGTTCATATTGCTACCATATTTTGTAGTTAAAATAAGGTTCCTGATGACTGATTCAGAATATCCGTTGTCGTATAGTCCTTTCGTAAATTTAGTTGTTAGAATGTTCTCAATATACTACCGTGGATGCATTTGGTTGAATATAATGAAATCCTTACTGTGTATGTTAACTTTTCCAAAGTCTTTCTTGAAATCATCAAAGTCCACGATCGATAATCTTATTGTGTTCTACACTGAGCATTCATCATTTGTTTCTCAAGATACCCATACTTATAGGCTTTATAGATGTAGCAAACGACGATTGCAGCAATGTCAACTCACTTATTGTTGGTTTCAGTTAATGATGCAAACTATCCACTTTCAAAACTTCGCAATTTCATCGAAGGTAATTTCGAACTCAAGAAATTTCATCGAAGGTAATTTCTGTAGTTTTCACTAAATCAAATTGATTATGTTGAAATGTGAACAATGCACTAACTTATTTTCACTTCTATTTCTTTCAATGAGCAGAAATGATTCGAAACATTATACGCGATTTTCTCAGATGTTACTTTTAGAACATGGGACAGATATGCGTAGAACGGCAGTACTGTCCATACACATTTCCAAAAAGGGGGAGAGGCCGTCTGAAACCTCTAAAAAACGTTGTACGTAGTTTATGAACAGCCCCTTACATACTTTGGACATAAAACTTACCTAGCTCGTGAATGACTGGAGCCGATCTCGTGTGGCATGTTACGGCAACGTTTGCACCCCACTTATTAGCCAGTTGCGTAATCACGCAGCCCACCGGAGAGCATGCATCCTGAACCAGCACCCGCTTGCCCTTGGATGTGTGTTCCGATAGGCCATGTGCATCCATCAGACTCAATGCTATACAACCGCTGTACGGTAAACTAGCAGCACCTTCAAATCCGATAAGGAATGGCTTTCGTGATATTCGGGTCTCTGGAACCACAACCAATTCCGAAGCAGTTCCCGATTCGTACCAGGGTGCAGCCAACCATACTTCGTCGCCTATCTCGAGCCCACTCTTGGACGCCTTCCCAACGGCTTCCACTATACCAGCACAGGACCGACCCAGCACCAGGGGCAATTCCGGGTTGCAATTGGAATCGTAGTGTTTTATCATTCTTCTTAACGTTCTCCCATAGCCGAATGCTATTCGCCGGTCTATTCGGTTCAGTGCTGCTGCTCGGACTCGCACCAGTATGTCGCTGGAAGACTCAAATTGAGGAACTCCGGTGTTGCAAACTGCCACGTTATCAGGATCCCGGAATGAGGTGCATGCGATTGATTTCATGATGGGCATAGCTAGATGTGGTCTTGCCAGCCAGAATCCCAGCAGGACACCTCCGGTGGTGCCAAATCCAAGGCCGACCATTACGAAGAAAGCATTATTAAGCGAAACTGAAATAGTCGAGATTAGGTTTTGTCACCATAAATTTCATTCATTCTCACTCTCATCCCGGAAAAGTATCTGCAACTGTTCGTAGATTATTGACGGGTCAGCTACTTCCCTGGCAGTGTTTTTCAGTCTTTGGATCAGTTCTAAGATATTAGCCCATGTATTTCTCATCGCACTACTGGCTTCGACATTTGCATCGTTTATGGCCTGCAATGCAACAATTATGTTATCGGTAACGTTTTCTAAAATACATGTTCAACAGTTAACTTACTCTCATAGCAATATTGCGACCTTCGTCTGAGTACTGCCGTACGACGCGCAATCCACTTTCGGAGGCCATACTGATGTTGGACTAGATCCGAGCCGTAACAGGTTGATTTGAAACGTACGAAGAAACACAGATGATTAAGCTATGAACACTGTTTTAGTCTTTATCCTTTAAGCTTAAGCAGTCGCCGTTCAGTCCGTTTGTCTATAGTACATTTTACTTATCGCTAACATCGACCTATCCACACGATTGACATTATTTATTTTTTTCGATGAGAGCATGAATGAGGAAAAGTACAGATGGTTACAATTATTTATGGATTTGTAGTGAAGAATAGTTACGACTATAGAAAACTAGCAATGCTCAACCATAAACTAACATTAAAATAAGTGTACATGAAGCATATTACATAACACACAATTACCGATATCGTGTTAATTACCATTATTCATTCAACATTTTTGAGTGAATGTCTACAACCAAAGCTAACAAAACACATATCTTCTAAACTGCTTCGAACATACCTGTACGGTCTGGACAACATCTCCGAATCGATTTCGAGCTTCTTCCATTTCCGCCTTCCACTCGTGTACGTAATTCTTTTCACTACTGTTGACAAAGATAAACGCTCTTGCTTCGGAAAGGATAGGCAATCGAACAACTGCGCCAAATAGCAGCGAGTGTTATCTCTTATCATGCGGTTTATCGATGGTCATAATCGAACAGCATCACTTTGCTTCCTCTTATGTGCCTACACTACTGATTCGTCCTCCTGAAACAGTGGACAATGTTCAATCTCTACTCGGATTCGCATACCATAGTCGATGGGCGACTTTATCGAATATTGCAGCTAATTTTCCTTGTATTCCGTATTCTTTCGGATATCATGCTTTTGTTCTTTACTTACCATATTTGAGATTGCATTTGCTCTGAATAAAATTGTTTTCATGTAATTTTCCACGATTTTTTAGAACCACTTAGTGCGAGGATATCGAAGAGAAAGCGAATCGAACAATAACAAATCGATTTCTGGTCGCGAAACTGACGTTTATTATGGAGCGAGAGCGATCGTCATGCCAGTGATGCCGTTAGATTTAGCAGTCACGGCACGGCAAACGGTTGATTGTGATATTGGCAAGCGTTTGTTTTTTTCTTTTTTTGCATTTCATTATCAACATTTCAAAAGGGCGAAACAGGTTTTGTAAACAATGGATCACCGTTTGCATCAACAATCAATACGATTTTAAATTGGCTCACACACCAAATTTTGAATCAGCCTTCCAGCAAAACGAATTGCTGAACAGAGTCCAGCAAAATTAAGATTTTCTGTGTATCCAGCAAACATGTTTGTTTGCTGGATGATCAGTAAAATGCGGGAACAGTCAAATAGATTGCAATTTCGTAAGTGGATTCTTTATCGTATGCCTGATCGCAGGTTGATTTATTTTGATTGTTTTATATTCGGTTTCAATGTGTTTTGCTATTTAATTTGATTTTATATCATTATTAAAAGTAAATTTGCATACAAATATCCGTTATAACCAGTGCGTCTGTAATGTGACTTCCTTTTTTATTTATTTGCAGGAGGAAATGGATAACCCAACTAACATTTCCAGCGTTGTGCTGTAAAGTAGCTGCAACAAAGCTGCAGATACAGCTACAAGCAGAAGCTAGCAAAATAGTTTTGGGGAGCGTTTGTTCAACTTTTTCACAACCATTATTCAATTCGTCAGTTGCACTGAATAACTTCAGCCAATTAACGCTAATGTCACTGCGGCTGTGGAATAGTAGTGATGAAAACGTTGCTAGAACTATTCCACAGCTGCAGTCAGTTTATGAGTAAAAGAGGGACGCACATTTTTTGCCTGTAGACTTGGAGACATACTTCAAGTCTCCGCGTACATCGTACGGGTTAGGCAAAAGATGTGCGTCTATCTTTAAAAACTGTCGCATTAATGGCCCTTCCCACTTTTTCAACTTCTATTCAATTTTCATACTGCCGTACTCTAACCGAACTATCCACCTACTCTCTTCTAAAGATCATTCTCTAGCTAATAAACCATCACACTAAAGCTGCATGTTAGCATTCCAACCAACTCTGAAAATCGCTAACTTCGCGTATGAAGTAATATAAAAACACTTTGAATGTAACAACTCAAGGCGGGAGTACCCGTCAACAATGCTGATGATGGTACAGCACGCAACAACCACCCTACTGCCAACAATCAATACGAAACTAACGATTTTAAATTGGCTCGCTACTTGACTAGCCTATTGGTCCCAAGCAAACGATTAACGTATCCCATTCTAGTCGAAATTCTAGTACTACGCAATGTTTGTTTTGATTCGCTATGAAAGTTTGACAGATAAAATGAGGGGTTATTGGTTTTTCCTATGTTTCGAGGGGTGAATCGATTAGCTTGGGACCGAAGAGAGTACCAGAGCTGAGCCAAAAAGTTGACCGCTTACATCGTACGGGTTAGGCAAAAGATGTGCGTCTATCTTTAAAATCTGTCGCACTAATGGCACAAACGAAGTGACAGACGACTAACTGGCGAAGAAATCCATTTAAATAATGTGGTTCACTGTAATAGAATTTTCTTGAAAGCTTGTGCCATCATCCACCAGAAGGGTTAGTTTTTTTGTTTTGATTTGAACAAAGTTGATTTTGTGTACAATGATTCTTTGACAGTGTGCAAAGAGTGCGTATCATTTTGTCATTTTTTTTTATGCATTTCAGTTTTGAGTAGAGTGAAAGAGATAGTACCAAAACATTCTAGTACATTTGGTGAAAATGCTAGTTCAATCTAGTAGTAGCAACAATCAATACGAAACTAACGATTTTAAATTGGCTCACCACTTTAGTAGCCTATTGGTCCCAAACAAACGATTAACGTACCCTATTCTAGTTGAAATTCTATTACTACACTATGTTTGTTTTGATTCGCTATGAAAGTTTGACAGATAACATCAGGGGTGTGTGGATTCATGCAGAACATGCAGGGGTGAGTGAAATAGCTTGGGACTGCTTGGGACCGTTGTTCTGGTACTGAGTGAGCCAAAAATAATAATGATTTTCTTCGGGACCCAGTGGTCTTAGAGTTACCTCTATGGTAGTAGCAACAATCAATACGAAACTAACGATTTTAAATTGGCTCACCACTTTAGTAGCCTATTGGTCCCAAGCAAACGATTAACGTACCCTATTCTAGTTGAAATTCTATTACTACACTATGTTTGTTTTGATTCGCTATGAAAGTTTGACAGATAACATCAGGGGTGTGTGGATTCATGCAGAACATGCAGGGGTGAGTGAAATAGCTTGGGACTGCTTGGGACCGTTGTTCTGGTACTGAGTGAGCCAAAAATAATAATGATTTTCTTCGGGACCCAGTGGTCTTAGAGTTACCTCTATGGTAGTAGTGTTGCCATGTGGTACAATCCAGTAGTAGTGGTGTTGCCATGTGGTACACTGAAAAATTGCAATAGCAGGTTAGTCACCAAAGTTTTCGAGCCGCTCCGTCTGTCACTTCGTTTGTGCTAATGGCCCTTCGATCATTTTCAACTTCTATTCAATTTTCATACTGCCGTACTCTAACGGAACTATCCACCTACTCTCTTCTAAAGATCATTCTCTAGCTAATAAATTATCACACTAAAGCTTCATGTTAGCATTTCCAACCAACTCTGAAAATCGCTAGCCTCGCGTATGAAGTAACTTAAAAACACTTTGAATGTTCAAAATAGTTATTTTTATTGGTAACATCAGTTTTGTCAACCCTGCAATCGCCCACAAATTCTCGATGGGGATGCTCTCTGGGCTTGGTCTTCTTGGCAGTATGTTTCGTGTCGTTGTCCTGCTGAAATACGAACTTCTCTTCAAGGCCCGTCTGGATCAGTGAAACCTCGAGATTTTCCCGCCGGATGTTGATGTAGGAATTATCCAGTCGATTTTCACGAGGCTTCCCACTCTACGAAAAACACTCCCAGACCATCACATTTCCTCCTCCATGCTTCACCATGCCTTGGATGTGGCGCTCCTGAACACAAACGAAGTTACAGACGACTAACTGGCGAAGAAATCCATTAAAATAATGTGGTTCACTGTAATAGAATTTTCTTGGAAGCTTGTGCCATCATCCCCCAGAAGGGTTAGTTTTTTTGTTTTGATTTGAACAAAGTTGATTTTGTGTACAATGATTCTTTGACAGTGTGCAAAGAGTGCGTATCATTTTGTCATTTTTTATGCATTTCAGTTTTGAGTAGAGTGAAAGAGATAGAACCAAAACATTCTAGTACATTTGGTGAAAATGCTAGTACAATCCAGTAGTAGTGTTGCCATGTGGTACAATCCAGTAGTAGTGGTGTTGCCATGTGGTACACTGAAAAATTGCAATAGCAGGTTAGTCACCAAAGTTTTCGAGCCGCTCCGTCTGTCACTTCGTTTGTGCTCCTGAAGCTCCTCACCAAATTTGCACCACACATGAACCCGCCGCTTTCGGCAGCTCGAATCTTGATTCTTCCGTCCAGACATCCGATTTCCAGAACTCTAGGGGCTTATCAGCATGATCAATAGCAAACTTAAACCGCTAAGCTGATAAATGGGCGCTTCCGGGAAACTTTGCTATTCAACCCCTGTGCTACGAGACGGCGAAGAAAAGTTCGACCGGAAACTGATAGCTGTATGGTTTCCTAGATCTCGATGACAGTTACCTTCGGGTTCTTCTTCGCGCATGATCTTGGTGTATGTTATCGCATCCGTTTTGCGCTTCTTGCCTCTGCCAGGGTGATCCACCACTGATCCGAACGTTTTTAGTTTCAGAAGAATTTTACCCACCGGTACACACCAAATTTAAGTTTTCAATATCAGTAAAACGGATTGCTGGATCATGACCAGCAATCCAATGCTTTACTGAAAAACAGCAAACGATATTTTACGAAAACATCAGCTAACATAAACTAACACCCAGTAAAAGAGTTGTCAAACTGTTAGCATCACGATCGCAAGTATTTTTGCATTCGTACACCACCATTCAAACCGCAGGAGGAGGAAGAGCTAAAAAAACTATGTTATGTAGGTAAGGACACTGGCTCGGACACTGATTATATTTAATAAACGATACTTGGAAAGGAGTCTGGTGATTTTATTTTTATTATTCATATATTTACAGAAGCTGGATGCTCATATAGTGAAAACAAATCCAGTTTACTGAATTTAATTGTTTAATCAGCAAAATGCTGCCAAATGTCAAAATTTTTAATTGCTGAAAGATCAGTAAAGAAACATTGCTGATTTTCAGTAAAAGGTTGTCATTTTGACAGATGTTGGAATTGCTAAAAAAAGCAGCAGCATTATTTTGCTGGAACGTTTGCGGATCTTTCATCAAGTCTAAAATCAGCAAAATTTTGCTGATGTTCAGCGATTTAAATTTGGTGTGTACCTTGTTGATACTGTACTTCCATAGAGGTAACTCTAAGACCAGAAGGTCCCGAATAAACGAGCTTAACTTTTTGGCTCAGCTCTGGTACTAACTTCGGTCCCAAGCTAATCGATGCACCCCTCGAAACATTGGAAAATCCACGAACCCCTCATTTTATCTGTCAAATTTTCATAGCGAATCAAAACAAACATAGTGTAGTACTAGAATTTCGACTAAATAGTACTTCCTAGCGACAGCCCGGTGCGATTCACTGTTTTGCTCATCACGAACCACCAATTTTTCGGATACACACGGGAATTGCTTTCGAAATTACTGCGTTTGCCTTATTTTTCAACGGAATCAAATGCAATCACGTGTACAAAAGCACCAGGTATAGCCGTTTGCTTCAAAACATGCCAAAATATCAAAACATAAACAATCGAGGGGTTTTCCTATGTAAACTTTTCGAAAACATATCGATTTTTTAAGTCGGAACTTTTTTTTTGTCACTGTTACACAATGAGCTGGATTACCGAGGTGAAGCAATCACTCACACAACCACTGTACGATACACGCAAGTACACGCA